TGTTTGTTTGGAAAGATTTTTCGGATCCCTACAGGTATATATCTGATCCCATCCTTTTGGGAATGTTTTTTCTTGATCCTCAAGTATCGGACTCTTGTTTATCAACCGTTCCTTTTCTTGTTTAGCACGTTAGTTTGCGTTAGGGAAACCCTTGACTATGTAGCACAGGCTGCACCGTCTGAGGTATTTTGTACTTTTGATATAATATTTGTCAATCGTATACGAAAGTTTCAAACATTCATTATGTTCACAAAGTATAGCTTTAACCGCGAAAAATAATGAATGTTTCGAATCATTAATTACCTTTGAATCTCTTTCTAAAGCATTTCTTCTAACCAACCAATACCAATACTGACCTAAATATTATATACCATTAGACAATAGAAGAGAATAGTTACCATACTTTACTAAAGCATTTAAAAACGTTCGTACTTCTACTTTTCCCTAAACATTAAGGTGACTCAAAATGATGGACAAATTTCTTGTTTTGACAGTTTCATTACTGTAAAATTACATTCAAATAATCAAACTAACTAGCAATATTTCTGATCATGAAGACATTTTTAGTGACACAGAACATGACTTGTTTATCAAACACTTTTAATTTATTATTTTAAATGTCATGTTTCGTGTTTTAAAGATTAAGACAAAGATGGATATGATGAAGTTGGTAATGATGTCGTTCTTCATATGTCTTTCTTGTAAAGCTAACCGCATTTTTAAAACATTTGACTTAAGTTCGCTAAACTAAATAGCTAATTAGTGGCAAATTCCCGCTTTGAGATAACAATGAACAAGACAGTTTTGTGTTAAGAGGGTTCTAGGTTAAAATTATTGAACTCAAGTTATTGGGACCAATTGTCAAAAAGTGAGAAGCCGCTGAAATAAATAAAACAAAGTGATTTCACTAATTGTTTTAAGAAGAATGTGAAGGAAAAAGCGCTGGGTAATAATGAATGAAGTCAGATATCGAGATAAATATAGGATGTATTCTTCGGAAGTGGTATGTTCTTTGATCAATACTGTTTGGTCCAAATATTTTCATTGTCTTTCATGATGACATCACGTGTGATTTGTACTAATTGATGATTCTTATGTACATTACTCCGTTACCGATTTAAATTCTAAATACATCAGCTTCGGCTGTGATTGCAGAGTTCTTTTGTAGAGGCCTGATATTTAATCGTCATTTAGATCAAACGATGTTGTCGAAAGGGCTCTCCACTTTAGTGGCCCGTTGATCTGACTCCAATTGGATCGTATGAATGTTTGTTGTCACCTATCCTTGTATCCAATCATCGACTTAAACCACGTTGATCAATAACAGAATTTAGAAAAGTCAATTAACGAGAATGGCCTTTGAATACATATATTTTGTATGTAAAGTGAATGTAATAGAACAAAGCAAAATGACACGCAGTGGGGATGGCGGGTAACCCAAATCGTTTTTAGCCAGATGTTACTCAATATTTATAGGTAGACAAAATAAGCCACAGACATGTGATATGAAGTGTACACACATATACGCTCATATAAAAACAGTCAGGACTGATAAGCGAATAATTAACAAGGTCAACATATGACTCAAGTAGAATGAATAGATTAGGCTGTCGGAAAGTTAGAATAAAGCATATGGGCTTAACATGATAAGTGACACTACAGTCCTCTCTTACTTGAATACTGTTCCATGTGTATTTATTAGGGTACAAATCGGACAGTAATGGATATTACCGGTTAACATACAGAATTCTATTACCGTTGATTATCAAACACTATCCAGACGCACCTCAGTTAGAGGTAAGCTATTAGATTTTTTCTATTGTAATTAGCTGTTTTTTAAATTTTGATAATAGACCCAGTCCCGAAAGGTAAGCGTTTGAAAAACTGGACTTGTCTAGTTATTGAGGATTCTTAAGTTAAAACTGCCTACTCTTCTCTCAACTAGCATCGCGAAGTGTTCACCATAATTTTCGATAATGTTTTTTGTATATTGTTTGGCTTCGCCGAATCCATATATACTGTTTGCTTCCTATTAATTCATTTGTTGATTATGATTGCAACATCACTGGCTTCAGATTTTCTTTTTCTCTTGACGACAATCTCCTGGTCCATGGATCACAAACCATCCATGAACTACTATAAGCATGATTGTGAACCATCTTGTATGATTTGACGATAAATCATTTCTCTTCCAATTTTACGCTGATATTAATGCTTTAGGCAGTTATTTTTTATGTTTTTTAGTGCAGCAAAAGACGACTTCAATATGTAAAAGCCTATTACTCATGTAACCCACGGTAAGTGAAATACGGAATGACCGCCTCCCGTCAGGCTGTTCAAGGTCGTTAAAACAAAACGGCGGGCAGCTTCGAAAGAGTCTGACATTTTTCTCACGTCCTCGTTTCTACAGAACCATTATATAATAGGTAGAATCTCACCAAATAGATACATGTAAGATACATCATGGGCCAGTTCAGTGGGGTGCTTTCACAATATGTATTGTTGGTGAATGGATATGACTAAGTTCCTAAGGTTATTTAAATTTTGGCAGTTAGTCATCTGTGATGAAGATGAGTTCATTTTAGCCAGCAATGTTTTACTAGCATCATAACTTCTAAGCAGACGAGTAAGTCCAAAATGAGGACTGTTTTCATGAGAATACACGATGTCAACCACTTAATAAATTAGATCAACCACAAAACGACTGGAGAGATGTGATGATATCAGATTTACGTCATCTGTTATGTCTTGATTTTATTCAAATTAGGCCTACGGTAATTTCTTTTTGCGACTGATTGAAAGTAACGTAACCTTCATTATATGGCAACTAACATACATACGGTTTAAATAAAATACCTGGCGATCGATTTTCAAAGAAGGGCACGAGCGCATAGAAATTTCGATCTAAAATGGTATTGAGCGTAAAGTAAAACAACTCTGTATGCGTTATATCCATGCTTGTGCATACATCACATAAAAAGCTAGAAAGTTGAACGCGAATACTTATCAGAAAATAGCAGAGTCGTGCAAAAATATGAATGGAAAACGATGTTTTTGTTACAGGGAAAGACGAATACTTGTGAAAATACAGATAACTTGAGGTCTTCGTGGCACTGATATATGCTAAATTTTTCTCATATCGATAATGTAAGTATGTGATTGACCACAATCATGAAGACCACTTATATGTCTTTGTTTACAATCAACAGTACGCTCAACTCCTGCTTGGGAGAAAAGTAAACCATCAAGAAAATGACACTCAAACAAATCAGTACATATCTTCCGTCACTATGAACGATTTTCGTTCTGTTTGGTATACTAATCTAACGGGCCATGTGCATCATTTTATTTTACTTCTTGACACGACGACTTCAAATAGGGTGAATTACAGGATTTTACCACTGTTTGAAGCGTTGCTTTAGCCTTAAATCGTATATGATATCATCGAGCTACAAATCTTTTGCCTGAAGCTCGAACTGAAGGTTTACGTAAATAAAGATTTTCGCAGGTATTCATGATACTAGTAGTAGTTCTAAGACTAACCATATCTTAGAAGCTATTAAGGGAACAATTTTCAAGTAAGCTCACACTTCCCACACGGCCTCAAATTATGTTCGTGAGAGGATTTTGTTGGTCAGAATTCCATAGTGACGCTCTAAAGAGATCTTGTTGTTTTAAAGTAGAGATGAGAGCAGGTAGGAACGAATGAAAAAAGTATTAGGATATTATTAAGTTCACAATGAAAATAAAATAGAAGGGTGCAAGTTCAATGGGGAAAAATATATATACGTTCATCGCCTGAGGCAGATGAACTCATGGATTGTGAAATGACTACTGGAAAAGAGCTGTAGTTCCTCAAACAAAAATTTATTCAAAACATGTGGATAAGCAAGAGGAGTAAATTAATGAACCATTAGTTCGAAAGTTTCATTCAAACCTAGTAGATCAGCACAGACACTAAATGCTTCGCAGGCTATTTGCGTCGCGGATCAATCAGACTTTGCAGTTTAAGCACATAATTAAGTGGTTGAAACAAAGCTATCTAGGGTCCACTGATATTTCTACTGTCAAGTCAGCTAACAAACTGACGTAGTGGGGAAAAAATCTGCACCATAGTCACTTCTGTCATCCAGAATCGTTTCTGATTGATAGACGCCACAGCGACTAAACTAAACTCTATTATCTATGTATATAAATAATGTTGTCGAACTGTAAATACAGTTTGAAATTCCACTGTAGACAAAGTAGACTAGATTTTACAAGGCTGGCAGTTTATCTATTGTTTTCTGACTATATTTTTGAAATTTTCCATCACCAATGCAGATGATGTATTAGATAGTTATGGTCTTATACAGTTAGGCAGCAATACTATGACTATCCGACTTATGTTGAAACCACGCTACGACGTTAGTCCTTTAAATGAACTTCCGTTGGTGTACCTGCGTGCTGAGCAGAACAGAAATGCATTTATTAAGGGAAGGTAATGTTGGAAAAAAGTAGGGAAGTACACCATAGAACCTGTAACTAATTCTCCAGTCGATGACGCTCACTATACTATACAAAGTCAGTTTTTCATCTCGAGAACAAAAATGTACAGAAGTGTTTGCAAATCTAACATCTAAATAGATCTATCAAGATACCACTTTTGGTGATGGTTTTATCATCATGCTTCAGCTTGAGATTATTACTGCCTCTAGAATAACGAAAAACAAATAGCAATCATTAAGTGCAAACTTGAAGAAGGTCACATAGACGTTCAATTTCCTAAAATCCAAAATCTAACGGCTAATGTGCAACTAATTAATGATGGTTTGTCATTAAATTATTGATTCGACTTAAAATAAGAGTCGAATTCACAAAAAAATGTTCGGAAAAGTGTCTGAATTATCGTGTTTAGGTATTTGTAAAGGCCTTCAATCATAAATTTTTGCTGAGACGGCAGAGCGAAATAGACAATTCTTTTATGTTGAAGAAAGATATTGAATAATGAATCGAATGAGGTCATCGATAATGCCTCACACTAATATTGTGTTATTTTGAATTGCAGTCGTCATCCATGTACAAAAGAAGTTTACGAGGCTCGTTGAGTCAGTCATCCTATACAGAACCAGTAATAAACCTAAGAAGTCCAGACAAACTCCATGATCGAACTCACTCGAAGGTAAACCAGTTGATCTTCCTGCAATGATAAATAATATTCTGGTTAAATAATAATAATATTCCTTACATCAGAATCAGATCGCGTCTCAATCTGCAAAAGAACAGAGTAAAGAGGTCCGGCTTTTCAATCGACTCTTGGTATGGTAAACTTCGGAGTTCTGGAATTGCATAGGCAGTTTCCCTCTATACATGTTCCAGGATATTCGAGTCACTTCATTCATCCTAAGAAAAAAAATATTTATAATCCTTTGATGCCTGGACATCCTAAATACGTTCACTAGAAATGACTAACAAAATAAAACTTGACCTGTCAATTTTAGCGTACAGGCAAAGCAAGAACATGAATGATCGTGTTTTGGTTTTTCTGGACATATTTACTTCCCATTCGAATACATGGGCATCACAAGCTGTGCAGTGGCCCTATTCTACATAGCTGATACTTCAAAGTTTTTTGCTTGTGTTATTAGGATCAGTTACTTCGAGTCGTATGATCTTTTCTGCGTCATTACGTCTTTAAGCACGATAATAATTCTTTTATAAATAGCCTGATTTTTCCGAAACTGAATCAACGATATTTTCGATTCCGAAACCCATGAACTTTGTCGCATATGCGACATTTCGTATTCAATAGTGACAGGAAAACAGAATTTCGCATTATGTTTCGTAGGCTTTGGATTAGTTGTAAGCTCCATAAAGAGACAAAAGCGGCAGCTTACTTTTCGGCGGAGTTAACCGCTACTACAGCCAAATTTCAGTTGGCGAATATGTTACTCAAAACAAATGTAAACCACAATCGTTTAAAGGTTAATTCTTGTCTGACGGACATCCAACTCAGCTTTTAGTGAAGTTAAATGATACATATGCATACAAAAGCTTGGTCTACCAAGAAACGTTTACTTTTTTAAGCTTATGATGGCAGTAACATGGTTATGGGAAAAATACGATAAGGTAAGTAAGTTGCACATCAGTAATCAAGATCTGTTACGAGGAACTTAAATCCTACTTCATTAACTTGTATGTCACTGCCTTACGTTTTATCAAAAATTGAATGCGTTTTAATTTTGAGTTTGCTTATTATCGTCCTTAGTTCACTTTCATGTTCTTGCCTTTACTTGCGAATAAAGATTTGAACCGTTTTAAAGCACAAAATTTCAAACTAATGCATTATTAGACAAGCCTCAAAGCTTCGTTGTTTGCCTTCATCTGCACAAAAAGAATACGAGTTGTCTTTATAAAACAAGTAGCTGCTAAAATCACCATCTCTACTTTAAACACAAGGATTAGGGGTTTAACTTGTTATCGCCAGTGAAAAATAAGTCTTCCTTCATGGTGCGTGAAAAAGTGTAACAGTGAAAGTTTTCATCATTTTTTTATCATAAGACTCAATTCTCAAGTTTTTGCTACCCATGTTCAGAAAATTCGTGTGTAAACTCACAGTTATGTCACTAACTTTACTTTTCATTAAAACGTGATTTATACAGAATATTTAGATATATTTTGTTTTCTTATTTTTGAGACATATCTGTGAACTGTATTCTTTTTGGCAATCATATAGAAGCATAATCGTTATCACAAAAGTAGAAGCGCCTCAAACCATGATTCTTCACTTAGTGTTGTTAGTGACAAAAGAGCTCGTGATTCAAAATTGGAGCTAGTCGAAGACTTTGAAGATGATGAGACGAATAAGTTTCACTTAAAAAGTACTCACACTTGTGAAAATCCAACAGTTAGTAAAACGCCTGCTCAAAATAACCGTTTGTTATCTCATGATCGAGAAACCTTTGGATACGAGCCGTTCAATATGTCCAACTCGACTCCTAATTTGGACCATCTCTACTCACACGTACCTCGACATCAGACAAATCAAACTTTAATTACTGAACCTGAAGAATATGACCAATATATATCCGACGATTCACAGATACAGCAGTTGTTTCCTGATACAGTCCAATCCATGCCATGTTCGCCTAGAGTCAATGAACTCCTTGAGGATCAATGTGTCATCGACCCCAGCTTTACTAATTCTGAACATTTTGGACACATTTACCAACCAAATACAAATCTCAACATATATGAGTTCTACGAATGTCAGCTAAATAAACAGCTAACAAAGTTGAGTATGCTTCACGCTCAACAATTAAATATTCAGGTTTTGTTAGAGCGTGAATGGCTGAAATTGCACAAGGTTAGTTAATAAACATTGTTTATTCTTAGGTAAAATTATAGATTTTTCTTGGTACCAGTAGAAATTTTGCAAAACCGTCACATAAAAACATAGATGATGAATAATAGTGTTGGTTATCGGTGTCTTACACTTATTATCTACAACACCGGTAGAATCTGTTAACTTCAGTCTCTTACATACCCCCACAAAAATAGGTTCATTCGGGTCATTTATAAATATTTTCAAGATTTTCAGTTAAACAATTACTATCAACTTTTAAACAGTTTACCAAAAATAATAATAGACAATAGCTGACGATTGAAACATTGTTTTTGGTTGAAATACCATCAAGGTTAACCGTTGTTTAGTGATGTTAGATAACTTTACAATATACGTTTTTTGTTTGTAAGTTTAAGCAAAGACGTTTTAGATGTTTGATTGTGTAAAACTTTTATATGTATGTACGCCCATTGCTTTGCATCTTTCGATTATCGCGATTATAGATCCAGGAGATGTGATGCTTATTCTACGTTAACATCCCTATTTGATTTACAGGTCGTGCTTAAAATTATATATATGGGTTATCTGAGGGACTTATAAGTTTTGTAAACTTCTCCGAATTCGGTGATGCTATACACCGAAGTACTAAAAACCAACAGCTAACTTTAGTCAGAGTTACCTTCTACTTGCACGAATGTTGATGTTATTCATCCATTGAAAATAAAATCTTGCTGTTTTTAAATGTAAAGCGACTAGTTTCAAATAGTCAATTCTTAGTGACGAATTTTCCATATTAGTCCACGCGACTGTAGAACTAGTTATCTGGATTCCAACCACGAAAATGTTTTCGACCTTAATTGACTCCATGTTTCAGTTTTACCATTTGAAACTGAAGATAATTAAAAATGGGAAACTCTAATCGAAAGCATAAAGGTTTATTTTAGGTTGCACCATTGATAACTGTTGTTGAATAAGTTATCCGTCAAATAGCTCCAAAACGTTTTGTTTCGTTGACCTGACTCATGCTTCAATTTTATTATATGGGAAGAGAATAAACTTTAAAGAGGTTGGATTATTCACAAATATGCATATATCTGGATGAATATATGTTAAAATCAGTATTATAATAAAACTAATGTTTTTGGTAAAATAATCTGGTATCATATTACTCTTTTTGTTCTCTTACTTAATAAATGAAATTTTATTGTCGTAAAATAAAACTGCAAACAAATTCTTAGTATAAACGACGAGACATCGCTATTTGTGCTTATTCGTTTGTTGTAGTTAACAAATGTTGTCAATTTAGATATTTCAACTTGATCCCATGAAGTTTAGTGTCGAATTCAGTTGCACGTGTTTTCTTCCAAATGTTATTTAGTGTTCTTTAAAATCATGATATTCAACATGGAAAATCGTTTCATTTGTAGATAATCTTCAAGTGACAAGTCCGGTTATTGGCAAACATATACTTTTGCTTAACTAAGTATTCTTTTTTTATTGTGACTTCATAGATAATATAAAAATTTTTACACTGTAGCAAGATCAACTACTGGTCGCTGAATATAGATTTCCATTCTCGATTGAAATGAGAAAGTTGACTGGTTCTTTCTGCTTTAAAATGGTTTCTTAGTTGATGTCACTATGGTTGTATTCAAGTATGACAAGATTTTATCTCACTGATTATTTTTTGATAATACAATCAAGTAATGTTCAGTCTGGTATAAAAATAATTGCTAATATCATAAAAATATGTTTCTTTTTGTAGGGCATATAATCGTTTGTGGTATAAACCTAATGAGTAGAATTTTTAAAGTCAATGTTAGTATAACTGTCAGAAGGCTTTGTGGTTCTCTTTCATGAAACCTGATTCTTTAGAGAAATCGTCATTCTGTCAGTTGATATAAATTTTGCTCTTTAAAGTTAATGGGTATCATGTACATTAACTTTTTCAGTATTTGACAACCCGTTATTGTTTTAACAGTACAAGTAGCCTTCGAAATTAGTTGCGTAGCTTTACGTCAGTTATCAAAATTGAATTTTTTTCTTGAAGTAGTTAAGGAAGCAAAATACTACAAGTTAATCAGTCTGAAACACTTTTTGTGATGAAATATATCGCCTGTAGACGATTGGTAGAATGTCGTGGACCCACGTTTCATCCTGATTATTATTAGTTTGGAGTGTCGTTAAAGAATTAGGGCAGGATCTAACAAATTTCATGACTAAATCCATTATTACCGACCATTTTTGACACGAAGTTTCTTTTATATCATTACCGCTTTCATTACAGTCGGTCTCCAAGTAAAGATTAATATGGTGTTTATCAGTATAGGGATTGTGGAGATTATTAATTTCTTTGATTGAGATCATGAACCAAATGATGTTAAACCACCGTTGGAAACCTGGAAGCACTGGACGGCCGTTTCGTCCTATTGTCGGACTCCTCAGCAGTGCGCATCCACGATCCCTCCCGCAGGATTCGAATCCAGGGACTTCGGTCTCGCGCGCGAACGCTTAACCTACTGAACCACTGGGGTGGCATCCAATGGTGTTAGTATCTAACATCAACCAATCCACGAAATTGCGCGACCAACTTCCATTGTACTAAGGTAGATACCTGTCTCTACCCGACACGGATTAGCGTTCGCGCGCGAGACTGAAGGCCCTGGATTCGAATCCCGCTGGTGGGATCGTGAATGCGCATTGCCGAGGAGTCCCATAATAGGACGAAACGGCCGTCCAGTGCTTCCAGGTTTCCAACGGTGGTCTAACATCAATTGGTTCATGATCTCAATCAAAGTAATATGGTGTTTGTTGGTTTTCAAGCTTGATTCAGTTCTGTAAACTTAGTTCTCAGTGAGAATCAACACCAAGATCAGTGTTATGTGACGTCAGCTCATCATTCTGTTTTTTTTAATATCAATAAATGGTCTTTAAGCAAAATAATTTGTTTTTAAAATTTTCCATTATGTCTTATGGATTAAGTAACTTAAATTCTTTAATTCTTACAACATTCGTTGCATAATAGTGCATAATATTTAAACTTCAGAGTGTATGTTACAGTTATATGATAGTGTTGTGACTTCATAAGGACGCTGACATGAATGACTACTTATTCACACCCCCAGTAAAAGTGCTACTTACAACTTGTCATAACTGAACAATAGCTGGCACGGCTCTGTTTTCTTTAGAAGCCAATACTGTAGATGAGGATCAGTCATACATCATAAATGAATCAACCACCGGTCAGCAACTATAACACGATACATTGATTTGTTTATCTGGCCAATAATCACACATTAAAATAGACAGTACTTGACATAACGTACTCAACAACTTGATCAATGTATGGAGTTTGAGATATCGGCTGATTAAATTGCTCCAATAAACAAATATAACTAAATTACTGAGTTAAATATTGATCCAACTATAAAGTAAAGTGACGTGATGTCTTTCGTAAGACGTAATATATATCAGCCAGTCTTGAGTGCTGTTAGAAATATGAGGGCGGTTACCACTTACCGGTTGCCCACACCGTGGAAAAGTTCTTCTAGAGGTACCTCAAAAGAAAATTGGCTTAGAGGTGGTCTTAGTGACCTGATAGCGTAACCGCAGTGCCCAAGGGACAACTGCTTGAGGTCGGTCACACACGACATTTTTGTGGGTAATTTTCGTGTTAGCTCCGTACTTGTTGAGACCTTACCACAGGAGATGGATATTCGTGGGATAAGGCGAGGTGTGCATTTTTAGGGTCGACCTTTTCTAACCCCACCGCTTCTTGTGGGAGGGCAGCATCGTCGTTATGCTGGTTGTCTGAAGGAAACACCTTACTGCCGTCACACCTTTGTACAGTCGGCAGTACGACTTCACCCTCAGACCTTGGGTTTGCTTCTTTTAGTCTAACCGCTCTTCAACCAACCTTGAGGAACGAGTGTTTCAGCCGGTATGGCTCGATTGGTTCATCACGATAGGCAAGCCCCGAATGAATAAAATAACTTGATGATAACCCCGCCTGGAGCCCCCCAAGGGCTACTGCCGATCCCAAGCCCAGATAAAGGAGGAGGGTCGAGCATGGGGTTAGCGACCCCATCCCGTAGAAAAATAACTCGCTAAAAAGACGCTGACCAAAAAAAATCATTCAAACCATTTAAACTCTGCCCTGGGAGCCAGCAGGTCTTCATTTAGAAGAGTTATGACGCCTCATGATGAAAGCCGACTTCCTTCGAAAGTCACGAGGCCGATGCCCCTTCTGACAACCAGAGCAACCATTTGTTTAGGTACATGGAATGCTCATACAATGTAGGAGATCAGGAGAGTCTTCCAAATTGCTGCAGAAATGAGGAGATATAACCTGGAGGTATTTGGGATCAGTGAAACACATTGGACGCAAGTTGGACAACAACGACTAGCTTCAGAGGAGTTCCTGTGATACTCCGGCCATGAAGAAAATGCCCCACTTACACAAGGATTTGCATTGATGCTGTCCAAACAAGCTCAAAATCCGCTTGTAGGATGGGAATCTCATGGACCAAGGATCATCAAAGCCTCCTTCAAAACAAAGAGAGGGTATTTCAATGAACATCATACAATGCTATGCGCCTACCAACGACTACAATGAAGAAGCTAAAGATCAATTCTACAATAGGCTGCAGTCAATCATCGAAAAGTGCCCAACAAAGAACCTGACCATTCTGATGGGAGATTTCAATGCCAAGGTTGTAATGGACAACAGTGGATATGGAGACATCATGGAACGACACAGATTGGGAGAAAGGAACGAAAATTGTGGGAGGTTTGCAAACCTATGTGCCTTCAATAAACTGGCCATAGGCGGCACCATATTTCACATAAGCGCATTCAAAAAACCACATGGACTTCAACGGATCACACTACACAAAACCAAATCGACCATATCTGCATCAACAAAAAGTTCAGAAGGATGACGGAAGACGTGAGAACCAAGAGAGGAGCTGATATAGCATCAGATCATCACTTGCTGGTCGCCAAGATGAAATTAAAACTCAAGAAGCACTGGATAACGAGGTGGACAACATCACAAAAGTTTAATACGACCTTTCTTCATGATACTGACAAACTCAACAAATTCAAGATAGCCCTCTGCAATAGGTTCCAGGCCTTTCATGATCTACTCAATGGAGAAGGAACTGCTATGGAGAGCAACTGGAAGGCGATCAAAGAGGCAATCACTTCAACATGTCATGAGGTTTTCGGCCACAAGAAGAACCATCACAAAGAATGGATCACTGTTGATACACTGGATAAGATTCAAGAAAGAAGGAACAAGAAGGCAGCAATCAATACCAGCCGAACAAGAGCAGAAAAAGCCAAGGCACAAGCTGAATACACGGAAATAAACAAACAAGTGAAGAGGAGCATCAGAACCGACAAACGTAAATATGTGGAAGATTTAGCAACGACGGCGGAAAAGGCTGCAAGAGAAGGAAACATGAGACAATTGTATGACACGACAAAGAAACTATCTGGAAATTGCCGCAAACCAGAACGACCAGTGAAAAGCAAGGAAGGCAAGGTAATCACCAACATTGAAGAGCAACAAAACAGGTGGGTAGAACACTTCAAAGAACTGTTGAATCGACCAGCTCCACTGAACCCACCCAACATCGAAGCAGCACCCACGGACCTCCCAATCAATGTTGGCCCACCAACAATTGAAGAAATCAGCATGGCCATCAGACAAATCAAGAGTGGCAAAGCAGCAGGACCGGACAACATCCCAGCAGAGGCACTAAAAGCAGACGTAGCGGCAACTGCACGGATACTCCACATTCTCTTCAATAAGATTTGGGATGAGGAACAAGTACCAACAGACTGGAAAGAAGGACTACTGATCAAAATACCGAAGAAAGGCGATCTCAGCAAGTGTGATAACTACAGGGGAATCACTCTTCTCTCAATACCGGGAAAAGTCTTCAACAGGGTATTGTTAAACAGGATGAAGGACTGCGTAGATGCCCAACTTCGTGACCAACAGGCAGGATTCCGTAAGGATAGATCGTGTACAGACCAAATCGCAACTCTACGGATAATTGTGGAACAATCAATTGAATGGAATTCATCACTCTACATCAACTTCATTGACTACGAAAAGGCATTTGATAGTGTGGACAGAACAACACTATGGAAACTTCTTCGACACTACGGCGTGCCTCAGAAGATAGTCAAAATTATACAGAGTTCATATGATAGATTACACTGCAAAATTGTGCATGGAGGACAGTTGACAAAGTCGTTCGAAGTGAAGACCGGTGTTAGGCAAGGTTGCTTACTCTCACCCTTTCTCTTTCTCCTGGTGATCGACTGGATCATGAAAACGTCAACGTCCGAAGGAAAGCGCGGGATACAATGGACATCTAAGATGCAGTTGGATGATCTAGACTTCGCAGATGATCTGGCCCTTCTATCCCAAACGCAACAACAGATGCAGGGGAAGACGAACAGTGTGGCAGCAGCCTCAGCAGCAATAGGTCTCAATATACACAAAGGGAAAAGCAGGATTCTCCGATACAACACAGAATGCACCAATCCAATCACAATTGACGGAGAAGATTTGGAAGATGTAAAAACCTTTACGTATTTGGGCAGCATCATTGATGAACAGGGTGGATCTGATGCAGATGTGAAGGCGCGGATCGGCAAAGCAAGAGCAGCATATTTACAACTGAAGAACATCTGGAACTCAAAACAACTGTCAACCATCACCGGGGTCAGAATCTTCAATACAAATGTCGAAACAGTTCTACTGTACGGGGCGGAAACCTGGACAACTACGAAAACCATCATCCAGAACATACAAGTGTTTATTAACAGTTGTCTACACAAAATACTTCCGATTAGTTAGCCAGATACTGTCAGCAACAACCTACTGTGGGAGAGAACAAACCAGATTTCAACAGAGGAAGAAATCCGGAAGAAGCACTGGAAGTGGATAGGACACACATTGAGGAAAGCACCCAACTGCGTCACAAGACAAGCCCTCACATGAAATCCTCAAGACCAAAGGAAAAGAGGAAGACCAAAGAACACATTACGCCGGGAAATGGAAATAGACATGAGAAAAATGAACAAGAATTGGATGAAACTAGAAAAGAAGGCCCAGGACAGAGTGAGATGGAGAATGCTGGTCTGCGGCCTATGCTCCATTGGGAGTTACAGTTGTAAGTAAGTAACGATTAGCATTTAACTTCGCTATTTAAGAGAGAAAATTAATAACAGGACAATGTAAGAGCCTGTAACAATTACCTTTGAATTCGAACTCCCGGTTTGCAGTGATAAACTGTAGGTGTTTGCACTATGCACGAGATTGTATTCATTATCCTATTTGGGGTAATTTAACTTTGAAAGTATTATAAGAACGTAGTAATTAAACATTTAATGCTTTGTTGCTTTTATTTTATTATAGTTGAATTGTTTGAAAATGGCTAAGTATGGATATAACGATATTAAAAAATCCGGTAAGTGGATAAGTGAAAGAAATTAGATCTTTTTTTACCTTGGAAAGTTTTTTAATCATAAAGCTATTAGTACATACTTTGACTCAAAAGTAATAGATTGATAAAAAGCCACGAGTAGGAATTGTTCAAAAGGTAATCTAATCTAATAATTTTCATGGAAATTTTAGATTTTGAAAAATCATCTGGGTTCATTATAAAATATATTTATTATTAGTATACAATGGTATATATTTATATCATTCCCTTAATGACATAAAGACATTTAAAGTTTGGAAAATTCTCATATTGTGATTTAGAGAAACATATATAATCGAACAATATTGTTTTCGATTATATCCTCATCAGGCTTTACCCTAATATACAGTAATATTTATATACATATACAAAATTAAGCCAATCAAGGCAGTTTATGAGTCAGTGGAATAGATTACATAAATAAACATAAACCTCTCTTCCTGAAGCTGCAAATTAATGGAGATGTAGCTGGTGATGTACTACATGATAGACTAACTAGAGCAGTGAAGAGAACGTTTAATGCAACTAACATCTGTCTATCGTACTCGACCCGTCCTATGGTGATTCCTCAACTTAAGGATAAGTTATCTGGTTATGCCACCTCTATGTGTATCTACGAATTCAGCTGTTCTTGTGGAGGAAGCTATATTGGGCGCACTACCAGATAACTGAACCAAAGAGATAGTGAACACTTCTCTTCCTGGTTAAAAAAAGGTACTGTCAAGGTAATATACAGCTCGGTTCTATCACACTTGATCGGTAGCAGTCATGTAGTAGACAGAAATGAGTCATTTAAAGTTATTTATCGAATTCCTACTAGGTTTCCTTATGGTGTTCGATTTCGTCTCTTACAAATAACAGAAGATATAGGAATTCGAACCAACAATCCAAGTCTTTATGTTCATAAGAAATTTGTAACACACTTATCTATCCCTTGGCTTTAATAAATGATTTTATTTATTATTATTTTCCATACTCTTTATCGTTTATTTTTCTTCACCCCCTCCTACCATCTTGTTTTTTCTCAAACATACGTTTCACGGTCTAATTATCAGAACACTTCTTATTACGTAATCTTATAATTTTTGTGGATGTCTTTTCAGTGTCTGTATCTTTCTAATCATTGACCTATTTCCCATTATGTAACATTGATTCAAGTCTTTATTATTCTTAACACAACTAGTACACCTGTCATGACACTACCAATTTGTACTTTACACTTATTTATGTAATCTATTCCACTGTTATCAATGACTCATAAACTGCCTTGATTGGTTTAATAATTTTGTATATGTACATAAATATTATTTAATATTAGATTAAAGGCTGATGAGGATTTAATCGAAAACAATATTGTTCGCTTATATACGTTGTTGTAAAGACGTTTGTTTTAATTATCTTAACTTATTACCATAATCCATTGCTAATTTACTAGTTTTACAATTTTTTATTATTTAGTCATATCGTACCAAAATTAAACAACCTTGTATAATAAATATTTATAATGTATGATTTAGTAATTTGAGTATTTATTTAAACAGGAAGACAATATTCACTGTTCATTATTTTTTTGTACCTATACTGTCCACCTTGCCACATTCACCGTTGAAATGACTATTTTATTATCAGAAGGGGTTTTGTGAAGATTGTAGTAATTCCAATAGTTGAGATCATAAGTCAATTGAAGCCAGGTTTTTCATGGTGGTCTAGCTTTAATTGACTCATGATCTCAACTATTGAGACTATTTTATTTCTAACAATAATAATAATAATAAACAGGAATATCTTGTGTTAAATCACGAGTTACATTATAGTGAAATCGTGTATCAACAGAATATTCTGGAATTTATTTTTACCAAAATATGTAAATTTACAAAAAAGTATTCTTTTTTTTCTCTTAAATAACAGAATATCTAAACTAAATCTTAACAAGTATTTCAACTTGTTTTTAATGGAAAAAAAATTTAATAAATAATAACATTATTAATCATATATACATATGAATACATGAATACATACATTCATTTAACCAAATAGTGTTTTTTTTCTCGTTGGGGCTGTTGTTATTATTGTTAATGTATATGAATTAATTCACAATTTTCTTTCATTTTATGATTTACACATTTCAGTAGTTCTTAATTGATTTAAGTAATATTGTACATACCTTCTATTTGTCTGTTTATCTATCTAACTAAATATCTATTTATTAATATAAAAAAAACTAAGATATAAATGTTAATTTATTTAATTGAAGTTTCTATAGTATTTTGATTATGTATGTAATAGTTTAGATGAAGTTATATTCACTTTTATTTTATTGTATTTCTTTTCTTTTTTTATCCCTTGAAAAAAGTAAAGTGTTCGTTCAGTATATTAATAAAATTGTTAAGCTTTTTACATCAATTATTATGTTGAAAGAGGAGAAATCTTCTTATTATTGTGAAGTTATATTCTATCTAGGTAAAACTTTTGTTTTTCCAATATAGCTTAATCACAATTGATTGATCACTGGGTGTTGATCAATGTCATGCTTGTCTAGTCCTTATTAGTGCAAATCGAATGCTATCGATCATGTTGCAATGTGGCCACCAGTCTAGGTAACTCGACACTGCGGGCACTATGTATTGAGATTTAGATGGTGGTTGGAGGTAGTCAACAGGAAACCCTGGACCCGGGTTTCGTGCTACTTGGCACTCGTCAGCAAGGTGTACCTGTAATCTTGAGGGAACTGGTGCTCCCTGGCGGATTCGATCTCGTGTCACCCAGCTTCACAGTCAGAGACGTTACCACTGAGCTATCCGAGCCGTGAATAACCTGTTGACTACCTCCAACCACCATCTAAATATAGCTTAATATTATAAAGTGTTATCAATTAAAGTATAAATGAAAATTATGGGTATCATTAAGTATTATGAAAAGTTGTCTTTTATGTTTGTAGTAACTAAAATGCAATGCCAGTAATATGTATCTCCTAAAGATTTAGAGTCATACTTTAGATTGTAATGAACTAAACAAATTGGATAAAAATGATGCAATAAAACTATCTAAAATATCAACGGGATATTTTTAAAAATATGGACCATGTGATGGAAGTGATAATCTGAATAAACAACATGATCATTAGATACATTGTGTCTGAAATAGATTCACTTCCATGCAGTTATTTGTATACAACATTTAACAGTACACATGAACAAATGTTTAAGGGTTAATTACAGATATATAGAACAAGATTGAAAATCTTGAGGAGAGAAAGTTTAATCAACTTATTTACAGACTAGGTTTTAGCACTACACAGAGCAACCCCTTAAGTTGTTTGAATGATATTTTATGATGGGATACATTTTAGTAGTAAGAACAACTGTTTGCATTTCTCTAGATCCTATTCACATAAAAATGGTCTATTTTAATTTTTCTGAGATTCATGGACAACATTACATAGGAACCCGATTTTTTTCACATTGACGATGTTTTTATTAGCTACTTCACCATTGAGAGAAGGTATTCAATGTCTAAGTAATTCGTGCACTCGTTTTCAACAAACCATTTTAGCTATAAACGCTGATAAATGTCCTTTCTGTGTCCAAGTGTTAATTTCCGGACGAATAAATCACCCTAACCAGAAATCATAAGGTAAATACTGTGAAAACTAGTGTTCTAATCACAAAGATTTGTAACTCCACCTTTAACCGTAATCCCAGTTATAGATGTATGATTTATGTCTGGTTAAATAAACATATGATGAAGATCATTTTAAACATTTCTAGATATCGACAACTTACTAATGTGATATTTACTTTCTTGGTTTTACTTTCATCAGTATAGAAGTCGTGAAAATGGTTAAATATTGTTGAGATCGCGGATCTATTTTGGTTAAGTAACCTTTGGATCACTGCTTCATTATAGTATGGGACTTCCTAGCAATACACACCCAGGAACCTACTAATTTGGGTCGAACTCGGGACCTTTGATCTCTAGAGTAAACACTTTATCTCCAAACTACTGAGTATTTAACTTCAATAGACACCTTACTCATGCTCTACATGGTTGAACTTCACTGATCATAGCTTTTCGATGAAACTCCTGAATTCCTCTCATGAAGCTAATCACTAGTAATCAATCACATGATGATTATCAGTAAGGAAACTGTAGAGATTGTTGAATATTATTGACACATAACTTTGAGTAAAGTAAGCATATTTGTAATTTTATTTCAAAATGAATACATTTACTCAAAATGATTTAAATTTAATATACCAAGTAAAAATCTACATATTCTTTCTTTATTTCATATCTATTACTATTTAGAAAACTATGACCAATCTCAATATTCATTTATTGAAAATATAAATAATCCAAGACATGTACATTCAACAAGTAGCACTAATACAATGCCAGTTCATTCACCTGAAATGCGTAATATGAATTCATTTAAGCATCATAATGATTTACTTTATTTAAGTAAAAATTTCAAATCTGCTGAATGTGGACTAAATAATTTAGATGGTGGTGATAACCAAGTATTTAATATTGATACCTATAATGATAATGTTTTAGCAAGAATGCAAGAACGAAGTCGTAATAGTGCAGATGAAGGAACATTCAACTTGAATTCAAATTACCGCATGATTTCACCAAATTATACAATAAAAGATAGAAAACCTGTACATAATTTAAGTAAGAAATGAGATTTTATTGAGTTTTCTCTTTTATTACTTCGTTTTACTATACAGTTTACGATAAAATGTTTTTGGTAAGTTAAGATTTAATATATTCATAACTTATACAACCATACACCTTACGGTTTTTAAAACGTAAACTGATGTAATATGTGAATTATTCATAGGAAAACTGAAAACGCTCTTGACCGAATGTTGGTACACTGATATACTAATCAGATTGGATTATTTTGATGCTTACATTTAGTTTTCTAGCCAGAAAGACCTTGTTTAAGGTTCCTGAATATCAGGAAGGTAGAAAGAGGAATGGTCAGAATGAATAATTAATTTTCTAGTGTTAGCTGCTTTCATTAAGGTGAGGCTTTGGAAACTTTACTGTATTTTGGGTGTGTATGTAACAATTTACACACGCAACTCCTCTACGCCACACTATCACATCTTTTAACTCCGAGAATTTCTCTAAGAAAGTGAGGTTTTTAAAAGACGGCTGTAACATTATACATATTCATTTGATAGATCACAGTATACTCTAGTCATAAGGGCTTCTATTAACTCACTGAAATACAGTAAACAACCCTCGTTGAACTGCAAAACAGATCAATTTTATGAAGCTTCGCATACCTATGTACTTACTGTGCTTAAGTTAATGTAGAGAAGAGGTTTTACTGACAAACCATCACGCTTAGGACAAATATTTCGTCCTAACGATTCATATTATCTGCTTTACCTTTAAGATAATATGTTGTTGGGCGGCATGCACTTAAAAAACAGAATGACATAATATCTCTCCTGGTTGCAATCAAACGATCACACTAGGCTTAGTAATTTTCGAAACAAATCTGTCAAGAATTCATTCTCTTTTTTGAGTAACTGGTTGAAACAAAATTTTTCCTATATGTTTCTGTGCCTGAAATTCTCTTCTGATTGATTTATGCTAAACCAGCACCAACCTCAAATGCAGATGCTAGGTTTCCTAGGAGTAAGTTGGAAAAAAGCTAGAGGTAAGCAAATCTAAACGTGTTATCAATACATTGAATCAGAGACTGTTAATATGAGCCATGATAGTGGATGCAGACCACATGTTTAGAGTCCATTTGACAATGGCAGTCAGTATTTGGATGACATGGCTCAGAATCAGTCATTAGCTGACTCTGCTTGCTAATGGAACATGCAAAAGTATCTAAGTTACCGAACAGTATATACTGTTACTCACAACGCTTATTGCTTTCGCTCTGGGATTTTAAAAAACACGAAAAAATCTTTTCTAAAATAGAGAGATCGCTTTGAGCAACTTAGAAATGATCACATACCACTGTTAGGGGTGTTGGTGTTCAGTTTCAACACTTTACTCATTGCTCATTGAATGACACTACACTAAATAACATGGATTATTTAGACCTAGTAGTGTTATTTGTAAGAGGAGTTGAGGCGACTTTAAAATAAGAGCATATACTACAAATATCCAAAACTTGTTTGTTTTGACGCCTAGTTTGAGAATAAAGACTGAAGTGAGTCTTTTTTTTTACCACTTTACCTATTAGTCAATATCTATGTTGTACTGACTATCTGAGCGATTTAGCCTTGCTGTTGATTTGCCAAAGTACAACAACTATAAGTTGTCCTACTTCTGATCACATAGTAAGTTTACTGTGCACAATTCTACTTCATGTTACTATGCAAATGTTGAAAAAGAAGACAACAATTAAGAATTTCAAGTATTTATTAATGTATATCTCTGATTATTGTTTACATGAAATACACATACCGAATCAATGTCTACACTAACATGAAAATAAAAAAATTAATTAAGTTTATAAAAAGCTAAGGTTAGTCAGATCAATCAAAACATAACACGAATCAGTTATTTTCATTATTTCTATTTGCTTCCTATGACTATTATGAAAATTCTTATGAATAAATATAAGAACACTAAATGGATCTTATGAAAAATAAAACTTATGTAGATCTATCACAATATTTCAGATTGTTCAAATGAACAAAACAATATACAAAAACCGAAGTAACATTTAAACAAATTACACTATGTAATATACATTATTGTTGTTTTTTTTTCTATGGTTTGGTCTATGTTCAATACAATTTTATATTACTATTTTTAAAATAAATTGTAAATCTACTTTTATCAGAAATAACCTAACAATCAGGTGATCATCATTTGTAATAAAATATCATGTAGTTGTATTGATATCAGATGTGAGAGAAAGAAAGGAACTTTGAATTATTAAAATTCTGTATAAATAGTTCATTTACTGTTGAAACAAAAAACGTAATTAGGAAAAAAAAATTCTGTCAAGTTATTGACAAATATTAACTTTAAGTTATTTTATTTCCTATACATTAATCTTGTTCACATGATAACAATAAGTAACTAGAAAGAATACAGTTTAAATTCTATTACTAAATATGTTTTATATGAGGTAGTTAATAATAACATATAATAACATTTGATAACATAGCTGCTAATAGCCCCAAAATGCCATGGTATGACCAAGATTGGAAAGAGTCGGCTCTTCCTCTCGAAATGCTCTCACATGGTCACGCGTATGTACATACTGCCCGGGAAGTCATACTCACTGCCTTCTCGCGACATGGGTGTTGTTTACGAAATTGAGAGGACGAAAAGCGAAAGTTAGACGCCTTAACAGGGTTAGTGGATATACAGGGGGAGTTGGAAAACCCTGATTCCAAACCAATGGTTTATATGGGCTCCAGCATCCTATGGAAACAAGTGGCGTATGAACCAATTGTTGGTCACCGGCTACCATGGGACTGAATCTCGTGACGTTGCTCCACTGCCTTATGAATTAGACCTTTAGGTCAAAGGCTCGGGTTGTGGTCTCCTAAGAAAACCATCTGCTTCTGTTTGGGCATCCGGGCAGTATCCCGGCCCTCACATATCTCTTTGGTGCCTCCTTGTACCAATGTTTATCGAGTTTTACACGTACAAGGCTCAATGATATACTAATTATAAGAAAAACATTAAAACAACTGTGGTTTAAATTCGTAATTCACAACTAGTTTTTTTCACCTATTCCTCTATTGCACTTCCCATACTTGTCACTCAGAAATATCAATAATTTGTGCAGTCATCACCTTTCCATTAACAATGAGCTCTAGTAATCTAGCCATCAGTAGTTCAGACTGGAGTTTGAATGTGGTCATAGTCAAAGATTATTTTTTTTCTCAACTTGCTACACCTTTTTATATTTAAGATCAATAATGTGCACACCTAGACATTTTGAACAAATATTTGGATAGAATTTAAACCAATCACTTTTTTAAAATATTTATGGTTGTACTGTTGACATTTATTCTTACGACTAAGGAAAAAGACCACGGTCATTTTAATGTCATCCAATATTGCGTTACTGACCATCATTAATTCTCAATAAGTGTAAAATTTGGACTAAAATATGAGGTAATTGTCATCAAAATGGGATCATGGCTAGTAGTGGAAAACGCGACTGACATTTCGTCCTAGTCGGGATGCTTCTGCTTCAGGAAACCAACTACGTATTGATATTCTCACTGCAACTCAAACTTAGTACCTTTTACTTGTAATACTAACGCGTTGTCCAGTGACCTACTGATTCCAAATGGCCAGTGGTCTGGGTGAGGGATATCATTTTGATTTGAAGGGCTTTTAATTTTTTACCGTTAATTTAAAGGGTTACAATTGATCTGTCTTTATTGAGATATGTGCTTACTGAGCAGATTTCCTTGAAATGTCAGGTACATCCAGATGATAAGTTCTAAATAAGATGAAAAGCGTTTCCTGCCAATATACATTTTTAATAAAAACTTATGACTAAACGGCAATATCACGATAATTTCTTAAATATGCACATATACAAATATAAATTTATGAGTTGTGGTTTGGAACGTTAGCGGCGGGGGAATACAAACCCTTGAAAATCAAAAAGGGTTCTCTAATATAGAGTAGTGTTATGAACTGTTTAAATACATCAAAATAGTTTAATGTTTCATACAGTAATTAAAATGTCTTAAATATTTAAATGACTGTATCGATATTCGATGTACAACTTACTTGAGCAGTTTCTTTTTTTTTATTTTTCAATATAGATTCAACTATACTTTATAATAGAGATCATCTCTACTCACAAGAACTACTGAATCGTTTAATTCAAAATTCACAGTCAAACGGTTACACAAATTATACGCCAGTTTTTAACAAACCATCACATAAATTATCAACCAAAAATAATTATCATTTTTCGGAATTAAATAATCAACAAATTATCAAAAAACCAAGTGTACCAAAAAGTGGTTCACCATCGAAAGGAAGTTATTTAACTTCTTCCGAAATTGAAATTCACTTACCAAGAGAATATCAATCTTTTCAATCAAATCAACTTTCAAAGAATTCATTTCAACCTGGTATAAACAATCAAAATTTGACAAAAACATTTTCGGAGAACCAAAATTTGAAACAATCTAAATTGAATAAATGTTCAGGTTCTGATCGATTATCTTCAAAGAAATATTTAAAATCTGATTGTAAAAAGAAACTTTTATTAAATCGAGATGATTCAAAACTACCAATAAATAGATCTAAAAGTCCACCACAAATGTTTATATTACGTAAAAGTGCATCACAACCTTGTATTTACAAAGATGATATAAATAAGGAAGAAACTAACAGGTATTAAAGAAAAAACAACTTGAATATGTATTAGCAAATGCTACTATTCATTGTTCGAGTTTTTTTGTTTGTTTTTTTTAATAAATGGAATTCATATTCTGTGTAATTCACTTAGATATATAAAGAGTAGGATAGAGAAATTACTATAGCAATCAATAAAAGCTTTGGAATTTCCAACAACAGGGTTTTTATTATATTTTTTACCTAGAAACAAAATATAGTGAATTGTCCGCTTCTCTTTAATACGCTTGTGATATTAATGTTAGAAGTTTGATGACTGATTAAATTTTTAAATGAAAGTTAACAAGGAGATTCAACATTTCTTATACGAGTTAGTTAGCTAGTTTTAAGTTATTTTGAATAGATTAACTTCATTACAAAGAATCATTTTGATTTCCAAAACAACACTTTACGTTATAGAAATTTGAAATGATTTCTATTTTTATGTTTTCTGTGTAATTTATGTTTCACCTCTACAATACAGTATTTAAGAACTTAATAAATTATTGTGGGATATATGAAATTATCAGTATAGCTTTATGGAGATTATTGAATTTTTATTAAGGTCATGAACCAACCAATGTTAGATCACCATTGAAAACCTGGAAGCACCAGACGGCCATTTCTGCCTAGTGTGGAACTCCTCAGCAGTGCACACCCATGATTCTGTGTGTTGGAATCGGGCCCAGAACCTTCGGTCCCGGACGAACGCTTAACCTCTGGATCATTAGGCCTGCATCCATCGTCCAGAGCCTACAGGTTTTCAATAATGGTCTGACATTTATCGGTTCATGGTCACAATATAAGATTTTCTCTGAATGTGGGGAATTCGCAAAGCCAGTACACACAATTATGTACTTGAATGGCGTTTGAAGCGAACGGTACTGAGTTCGAGTCCGAGAGTGAACATTAACTGTGAGATGCAGGTACATTCAGCTGACGAGTCCCAAACAGGATGAAACGCGCGTCCTGGATTCCACTGCTAGCCACTATCCATCTTTGCTTATAAACATGGTCTTAGTTTATTATTCACAACTGCACCAGAATTAATAAACAGCTTTTTACACCTCCCTTTGCACTCACCAAAATTATTACCCGAAAATAATAAGTAATAATAATAATGGAAGAAGTTGAGTGTTTGTTATCTGCTTTTATTAAATGATTTGGCTCTTTGTAACTATTTTCGTAGATGCTCAGCCGCCCATATTGTAAATTACGATTAGTCCCCTATTGCATATGTGTGTCCACAAAAACATGTAAATTGATAAACACAGTGGAATAAGATGCAATCGTTTATATACTGTTTATATTCTTAGTATTTCAGTAATGGTTTTAACTTTTCTGTATTTGATTCATGCATCGTGAGACGATAAAATATAAGAATTGAACTGAGTAGGTGAATTCTACTTGTATTAGGTGTCCAATAGGGTTAATGTTATATCACTTAATGGAGAACTAAGTAAAATAAGTAACAACCCATAAAAATATAAAAAGTCGTGGGCATTTTCATTTGAGCCTAGAACTAACTAACTGTATTAAGAAGGAAAATTTACTGTATTATCAATATTCATAACGTCTAATTATTGTCAATATCACTTTAAATGAGTTTATCAATGTTCTTAAAAGAATATGTATCATGTCACTTAAAAGCAGCATCAATTTGAATAAAATTTCCATTCCTTTATTTTTATTTAGCTGGAAGACGATTTGAGCTGTACTATATGTGTTGTTTAATACATTGTCTCATTGACTTACGTAGACTATTTCAACAACACATTGCGGCGCGAATAATTGATTATTTCAGTCATCAGAAAAGACCTAGTTTCCAATAATAATAATAATAATAATAATAATAATAATAATAATAATAATAATAATAATAGTGGTAATAATAATAATGAAATTATCTTTTTGTGTTGAAAAAGGCAGGCTGGATGTATGAAAAAGTATTTGTTTCGTTTCATTTCAAAAAGATGCGCATAATATAAAAAGTGTAAAGTTTTTCAACAATACACTTCTCTCTAAGTTGTAGTATGATTTTTAAGCATTAAATTACTATCTTGACAACAAGCTTCATTATTTAGAAAATTTAATCGTATTTCAAATCATCACTACGTAGTATAATCTAATAAAATCATGTATTAAAATTACAAATTCCAATTCATGTTTCAACATATAAGCACCTAGAACAAAAACAAACGAAAAATTTGCGAAAATTAATTGAAAAGAATGATTGCACAGTGATAATCTCTAGAGATGATTTTGTGAATTGACATTTTTAATAAGGTCATTTATTAAAAATTCATAGCATTCTTCTTTATAACACTTTAAAATAGTATAAATCTAACCAACTATTCTCAGGATGCATATGAAACAGATCGATCTCAGTTGAAGTATGTCTAAAAACTAGGGCACATCAGATAGCTTTTTTTTCTAGTATAGGACTCCTTAACAATGGTCAGCCATAATATCACCAACGATCAGACCGAGGACGTTTAGATCTCACATAGAACGTTTAACTATTAAAATCATTGAGTCAGTATTATGTAGTACAATTTCAACACTTATAATGTGTATCAATACATTAAAAAGACTACTACTCATCAGATCACATTTTATTATATATAATTTATTTATAATGCAGATCGAGTCCCCCTCAAAAATATCCTCTTATCAAACAAAGTAGTGAATTGAATGCAAACAAATCATCAACTGAATCAATTGATAGAGAAATTTTGGATATTGATTATAAAGCTTCAACATCGTTATGGTATGATCACAATGATAATAATAATAACGTGAAGAAAAATACTTTTAATGGTGTTGTTAATCATGGTAATGATCAACACTGTTTACAAGATACTTGTCAATTATTACCATCATATCCTCGTATAATAAAACAAGTTTCTAAATTGCCTAAACACATTGAAGTGGATAAAGAAAAAGATTATGAATATAGTTCAAATTCAACAAGTCAGTCAAGTACTTCAAATATCACAAATAATCATATAAAAACCAAACATAAATCTATGACAAATTATCAATATAATGATAATAAATTAAAAGTTATTCATGCAACTGATAATACAAATAGTGTGAAGAAGTAAGTAATATATATTTTTTCTCACGGGTTTCGAACAACGAACTGATCTTAGACCATTATTGAAGGTTTGAGAGCACTGTTTGGTTATTTCATTTCAATATAGAACTCTTCAACTGTGCTCATTCATAACTCCACATCTCGGAATCAACCCCAAAACCTTCAGTCGTAAGCGCTAACGCCTAAACTCTAAACCACTAAGACAGAATCCGATGACATGCACACTTAGTTTTAGTCAGTCTGAGATTGTGCTCGACAATTATTCATCATCTTTGACAGGTATTTTCTTCATGCTCCATACTATTGAGTTCTATTGGTCATAGATTCTCACTGAAACTTCGTGAATCGCATCTTGAAATTAAATGCCAGTGAGCACATAAATATCAGCTTGTGATTTAAAATCCATGAGGATTTTATAATCTCTACAACGCTCTATACTGGCATATATGCCAAAATTATAACATTTCTTGATAATTTTAACAAAAGTGATCCTGGCATACCATCCTACGTGGGTTGTTATATGAAATTTTGTACTCTTATAGTAGTCCATATTCTATAAAGTTTTGTGATTCCATTTTTTCCTCTTAATTACTTGTAGGCCGATATATGAACAAAATGAAACTAGTTATAATAACGTACATATATCAAGGGAATGTAAACAAAATAATATTATTGATCGCAATGATTCCTCCACCTTATCAAACTCTTTGTCTACGCTAAAATTGTCGAATGGAACTGCAAATCAACAAAACCGAATCATAAGTAGCAACTGCACTACTGCTATGATAAAGACTAATAATAATAGTAATAATAATGGTGATTTGAATAAATTTGTAAAGCGTACATCCGATGATCAGTTGAATAATTATGAGTTAGATTTAACAAATGACTCTGGTATATCATCTGTGAATAAAGATTCGATAATACCAAGTGGTGTAATCTGTTTACATAAAGAAATTAATCATATGGTATTTGGTCCTTCTCGTAATCCACTCAATAATGCTGTGTTGAATTTCACAATTAGTGAACGAATAAATACACCAACATGGTTAGCTTTATGCACGGATGAAATGAAAGTTTATGTCTATGATTTATGGGTAAGCAATGAGTAAATTTATCCCAAATTATGATAGAAATCGAAATTAATTAAGAGTGTTATTAATCTAATGAATGTAGAACTCTGTATACAGAATTTGAAAAAGTAATAAATGAACGATGTTGAATTGATGAGGAAAATGAGATGCTTCCATTTAAGTTCAGTCTGACCAGATGTACAATTATAAGACAAATGAGGAATATTGGTTACAATTTCATTTCGATATTGGTACCGTTAAAAACTAGGCAATGCTGGATAGTTCTTTCATCCTAATATGGGACTGATCGGCAGTGTTGTCCGCGAACTTCAGTAGCAATTGAGCCTAGGACCTCCATGTTTCACCTAGTGGTGTAAGACTTGAAGGTTCTAGGTTCGTTTCCTGGTGAGGTTGGTGATCTACATTGCTGATCAGTCCCATACCAGGATGAAACAGCTGTCAAGTATTCCCCGGGTTTTGATATTATCTCTACTGAAATGATTTTTCGACAAATCTTATTTTAAAATTTAAATTACCTCCACGACCTCCCGTCATCTAAAGTGAGAAGTATCTGATTTTATGAGTAAGCAATCATATTTAGTACAAAAACATGAAAATCCTATTGAACAAAACGATATGCGATTAGGATAACGATGATAGTATCAAAGTTATGTAAGTAAGAATAAGTCGTAAAGAGTTTCTTAATTTATATAATATCATTTACAAACTTTGCAGATGGTTGCATAAAGTCGATGATCTATTTGAAGTAATAAATGCATCTCGATGTCTTAATCATGCAAGTTCAATCATTACTGTTTCACAAATGTCGATATTATTTTAGTCGAAAATATCGATTAGCACACTTAATGAATTATTAGTCATGCTCAGTAAATTTCATTTTCAGTAGGTGTGCTATATAGTAATATGTTATATTTTCCAGTTTGATTTCATCAACCTTATTAAAATAGATATATATGTCAATAACGAAACATTAGTTGTTAAAACAAAACTTATTCAGTATAATTTGATGTTTCACGTGGTACACACACAAAATAAGCGACAACAACCCAAGAAACTCGCTAAAAATAGTGTAAACCATGCTGTGTAGAAAAAATACACTCATTTAAAACTATTAAAGATTACTGACACTGTATTTTCTGATTTTCTGGCATTTACTCTAGAAGGAAACAAGTTAAAATAGGTTGTCATACAGAAGTACATATAAAAAGTGTATTCAGCTAAGCGCTTCTACATTGAGAACAAGTTCTTCACTTATGTTAATTGTATTTTACAGAACAAATAATTGCAATAATTTTCTCCCTCAAGTTGCAAACTCTCAATACCAGGGGATATGAATAAAGTAGACACATATTTAGTTATCATTAGCGTTGTGGAAATTGTTGAGTTTAGATTGATATATCATGAATGGAACAATGTTCGACCACCATGGAATACCTGTAAGCACTGGACGGCCGTTTTGTCCTATTATGGGACTCCTCAACAGTACTCACTAGTGGCTGGCTTCAAAATGGATTTCCCGGAGTTCTAGTGAGAAACCATGACCAGTGGAGTTCAACCGTGTCTGTTGTGAGGCATTTAATCACTGGAGACAATGATGGACGGTCTCGCAATTTCGTGAATTGGTAAATTTAGGCATTAACATCGTTGAATGCCGGCTCAGTGGTCTGGAGGTTAAACGTCCACGCGAGACTGAAGGTCCTCGGTTCGAGTTCGTTTGGTGCGGGATCGTGGACGTTCATTGTTGAGTCCTATACCAGGACGAAACGGCTATCTAGTGCTTCCAGGTTTTCAGTGGTGGTCAAATATTGTTCTATTTATGATATATCAACAAATTTAATTCATAATCCATGCAAAAGTAAATATAAATTCTTAGATGACGGCACTTAATCAGCGTGTTATTTACTCAATTTTAGTATGAATTTACTGTTAACTGACGTTTACTTCTGAATTGTGCAAAAGTACCATCACAGTTATTCAATAAAAAGGAGTTTAGTAACTGGACTTTAAAAAATATTTAAAAACAGCTATTTAATAATGACAATCAATGCATAACGATCAAATAAGATGCAAGTATTCAAAAACCACATTATCTCTCAGAAATCACTAATTAACATACCTCGTTTCAACTCATAATAACTCATGATCGTAGACTAACATCCCTCACCTTAGGTATTTTTCACAATAGGACAGTGAATGAATGCTGGTTGATAATCCTTGATTCATATCTAGTTAGAAAAATGTTCGGATAAAATATTTGGAGAACTCGCGAATTTCTTAACAAGTAGTTCTCACTCATTACGGGAAAATTTATTCCAAAAAATTGAGCTTTACAATGAACCTAAAATATAATAAGATCATAGAAGATAAAAGCAATATCTCTTATAAAACAGCTTACCTTGTCAGGTTAGTAACCCGATCTCTCACTCATTTGTGTTAATAAATCCTTTCTAACTACAAAAACTCCTAAAACACACGGTCATAAACGTTCTTAAGAACAGATATACTACGGAGTTTCATTCTTGCCTTCAACAAAAGTTGATGATACTACATGTTAAGGCAAAGTAGCTTCCGACTCGGTTGAAAAAACAAGTCTCCAAAAATAAGAGATTTGATCTTATTTAAGTTTCTGAGAATTTCTTTTCAAAAATCTGATTGCGAGTTGAATAAATAGACAAAACATCTGAAACTGTTATTCTTCGACTTAAAGTAGAACAATCTGAAAAGCTTGAAGGAACTGATGTCATTAGTCATATGATAAACCAAAACGTTTGGTCCTCTGAACACGTTTCAATCTTCTACGTGAATTACGTATATTAACTATGATCTCACATTACCCAGGCATAAAATCCGAAGTGTATTCTTATCCAAATTTTGAGAGTCATCAAGAACTAATCACAAAAATTGAAACCTCCATGAACGACTTGTTTATACAACTCTTAAATCCTGATGATCACTGACCTGAATTATGAAGTTAAATTCAATAATGGAAATTCCCATGGTCAAGGCTGAATTGCGTTACAGCACTTCTACTAAATTTGAATTATAATAGGCTTTTATGCAATTGGTTCCCTTTTCTTGCTCTATTTAAATAGGCTTTTAATTATCTACTCACCTAAGGTGTCTGATTTGATCCCAACCTGTGTATTATTACATGTCTTGTGTATAATCCTCTATAGCCTTAACATTACCGGTAAATAGTAAGATGGATTACTTTGTCATTCATTGTAGATCGTTTGCACAAATTTTTAGGAGTACAGGGTTCATACGAAATTTTACCTCGTCTATTTGAGATCTGAACATGTTTATTTAACAGACAATTCTAAGAATTAAAATCATCATTTTTCGTTAAAATAACTACATGTTAACACTTCATTGTAACATAATTTATACTTTCAAAAGTACAAATGGAGTATTTAATAACCTTTAAAAGAATTTTCACAATCAAAAATTAGACTTAAAATTTTGAAATATTATAGAAGATTCAGTAAGATACTTGACAATTATACAAATACAATTACATATTTACTTACACCTCTTCCTCCCAATGGAGCATAGGCCGCCAACCAGAATTCTCTTACCCACTCTGTCCTGGGCCTTCTTTTCCAGTTCTATCCAATTTTTGTTCATTTTACTCATATCTGTCTCCATTTCTCGGTGTAATGTGTTCTTTGGTCTTCCTCTCCTCCTTTGACCTTCATGATTCCATGTAAGGGCTTGCCTTGTGATACAGTTGGGTGCTTTCCTCAATGTGTGTCCTATCCATTTCTTCCGGATTTCTTCCTCTGTTGAGATCTGGTTTGTTCTCTCCCACAGTAGGTTGTTGCTGACAGTATCTGGCTAACTAATCGGAAGTATTTTGTGTAGACAACTGTTAATAAACACTTGTATGTTCTGGATGATGGTTTTCGTAGTTGTCCAGGTTTCCGCCCCATACAGTAGAACTGTTTCGACATTTGTATTGAAAATTCTGACTTTGGTGTTGATTGACAGTTGTTTTGAGTTCCAGATGTTCTTCAGTTTTAAATATATTACTCGCAAATATAATTAACCATTCAGTAATATTATAAATGACAAAATTTTAACGAATGAGCTTCTGATTCTATAATAAATGTATAATTTTGGAAATTACTGTAAAACAATGAAACACCATTATCAATCAGATTGATCTCCAGTAAAATTCAAGCAAATTATAGATTTCATTACTTAGTGGCATCAAAAATTCAAAACAAGAAAAATGAATATATTATCTAACTATTATCCTGTGATGTTTTAAATTCATTCTGTCAGTCACTACTAAAATAGATTTTGTCATCTATGTACGCATACCTTTACAAGTAAACTAATTAAGGTTGGTAATCATGTATATACATGTAGGAGGATTCGAAAACATGTCAGTCAACTTTATTTTTTTAAAAATTAAACTAAATTAATACTCATCTTTTCCTAGTAATTCATCACAAAACTATTCAGAAAAAATCAGTAAATAAAGTTATGAGAATAAGCCAAAAAAGAAATAGAAAGCTGAATTGTATAAGAGTAAACAACAACAAAAAAATAAACTTTTTGTGATATATTAGTGCAATACATTTCAAGGTGATTCAAATAAAAAAAGACTTAAATCAGTCATCAACAAAACGTATTGCACAGCAAAGGTCATTATCAAAGAAAGAACATGGTGCATACTTCATCCAAAACCTAAAAGACATGAAAACGATTGTGTCATATCTCACTGTGTCTACCAATTTAAATGTTTGTGTGGTCACACATATATAGGGAGGAGCAATCGTGATCTCGACATTAGGGTGAGTGAACATGTACCAAAATGGTTACAGAAATAAATAGGATCAAGTGACCCAATAAGAGTAGAGGATAAACATCCATCATCCTCTATTTCTAAACATAAAATCGAAACAGGCCGTAAGACTGATCTTAACTCGGCTTTTGCGGTGTTGTAGAAAGGTGTAAAAGGGCGTATACTAAAATTTATTAAAGCCTTAGCCATACGAAAATTTAAACCCCGTTTGTGTATTCAAAAACAGTTTGTTCTTCCCTTAAACCTACACTGGTAATATTGGCTTATTACCCAGAGTGATTAGGTTTCACATTGTGTTCACATTATTATTATTACTCTTATTATTATTATTATTATTATTATTATTATTATTATTATCCTTGTCTCCTGTGACCCCCATTTCCAGTCTAGTTGACCTTTAATTTTTATGTATAAATGTTCTTAACAAGTATATTATATGTGATCAGATTACATTGTTGAAATTCATCAAAGGGACTAATTGCTTTAAATAAACTTTTGTTTAAAAAAGGTCAAAAATTAATTTTGTTCAGGAAATTCAAAGTAAAAATAACAAATTAAGTGTCAACAAATCATTATTAAAATATGGTTTGTGTGTATGAATAAATAAAAGTCCAATTTTATTCCATTTTTCCCTGTAGTTTACGTCAAGCACGAAACTCTAGCTAGCTATTTCAGTCTCCTCAGTAACATGTATCTACAATTCCTCTAGGTATAAATCAATAAGTTCTAGTTCTTGATATAAATCATAAGTCGAATAATTTGTATAAAACTGTCATACTAATAAAAATCTCGTTCCTACTGTTCACTAACTCTGACATTATATTGAGTCATCGAAAACCAAAGAGCATTGAAGAACAGTTTCATTATAGCCCAGGACTCTTTAGTAGTCTGCGCCTATAACTGAGAACTATATCAAAACAGTTAGAGGATAACTAACTCACTGCCAACTCTACTGTGTCCATAGATCACATTTTATCTTCATGAATTTGTCAGGTTCATCTCAAACTAATTACCAAACATACTACTAGTCAGTAAATGTACTTAACTTACGAGAATGAGTTTCGTACGTAACAGGTTGTTTTGATGAAATATTGAAATTAATATTATTCAAGGGTTCTTTTCTGAAAATAAAAGTAATGAGGAGATTTAGTAGATTTAGGATCTTTTTGTAAAATAAGTGTATTTTGTAAATAAACACTGAAAAAGATTATTATTATTATTATTATTATTATTATTATTATTATTATTTCACTAAGAATCCACCAGTAATTCTGTTCCAATTTTCTGGTCTAGATACAGAATATGTAAAGTTGTAAATATTTTGCGATTATCAATGCCAATAACATATGACATAGATGGCTATACCAAGGCAATCCTCATAGGATGCCCATATTCCAATCAAGAATCGTCAAGAATACTTCTTAATATCAATAATGAAATAACTTAAATCCTTACTAATACTAATCTTAACATTATACTCATTGAACAAGTTAGTGGATATATAGACTCAGTGGTTTAATGAATAACAAATTGAGTGTTTGAAGCTGATGTTACTGAATTCGAGTCCTGATGTGAATTGCAACAGTAGGTTGGAAGTACTTCCGGCTAACTAGTCCCAGGTAAAACGAAACACTTGTCCTGCTGGTGAACAAATAAACTCTTTTATGTAAACAACAGAGTTACATCAAACCAACTCCAAACTTATAAAATGACTAAATATAAATACAAATTTTCTTTATACACAAAACAGACAACTCATTTATTTCTTATTTTTTTTCTAAAAAATATTTAAATTTTATAGACCCATAGTTGTTTAACAGAATTTATGAATCATGCTATTTCATCAACGAGTCCTGTAATACATCTGTTCTCATTGAATCCACTAGAATATTCTGATAATTCAAAAGCACATGTTGGATTTCTATGTGTTGTTCAAAAGAATGGAATTTTAACACTATATAACATAGCTGTAAGTTGAAAATGCTTTTTTTTCCAAAAAAAATCTTGTTTTACTGTATTGTTTTGTAACAAATTTATAGCATTAATGAAAAGAACAATGTCTATCGATAAATGAACACATACCTATACAGAGATTTAGGATTATATTGAATTGGGGTCTCTATGAGAAAAGAGAGGTCCATTTAGTGTCATAGAATTTTGTCAATAAGTACTATTAAATAATGATTAGTAAACATTATCATTTAATGAAATATTTTGTAAATTGGAATCTACGGGAAAATTTTGACAGTAAGATGTATGATACTGATAGTTTAAACATTATTAGTTTTATTTAAATACTAGATTTCATATAAGATAATAATGTAAGTTTATTTGTTACAAATTCTCATTTCCATTGATTGGTTGAAATTAGACATTAATACCGTTAGATGCCGGCTCTGTGGTCTAGTAGATAGGCGCCTGCGAGGCGGGATCGTGGATGTGCACTGCTGAGGAGTCCAATACTAGAAAGAAACGGCCGTCCATTGCTTCCAAGTTTTCCATGGTAGTCTAGCTTTAATCGACTCATGAATTCATCTATTAAATGACTATAATATTCACAAAATCCCTTTCTGAACATAATCATTTAATGAATGAACAATTGCGAATGATATATTAAAAAGCGAGATATGCGTAAGTAATTAAGGCGAAAACAATAAAGTTATTGTCAATAATATGTACCAACCCTTGGAGTTTATTTACTTCAATGAAGAATGGTAAGATTCAAATTTTATTTCTAATACAGTATTTAAAATTCCCTAATCAAATATATTTTGATTAAACGGTATCGATCATCATCTAGTTTCATTCACCTGTAAATATGATAATTTTAGGCGCTAAATGTATTTATAAACTTTTCTCCATTCATGTCTAATGGGTGGATAGTTTCGAAGTGGTAATACGTTTCCTCGGCAAAACATCAGATGGTATTTTATCACTGTATTAAGGCTTTTTAAGAATTATTGAATTTCAAAATTTACATAATCGACCAATCTTAGTTAAACACCCACTGAAAACCAGGAAGTATTAAAAAGTTGTTTCCTCTTAGTACGGAATTCTTCACCACAGTGTACACCAATGAATCTATTGAGGATGAAACCTGGGACCTTTAGATACCACATAGAGAACTTGTCATACATCTGTGGCGCAATTCAGTAGTTTACAGTTGTAATTCCAATCACTCTATGACACCTCATGACTATATTCCGCTTTCATCCCACCCGACGTTGTTAGACTCCCTTAGTTATTTTAGCAATCTTGTCTTAATTTAACATACCTATTTTATCATTTATAGAACTAATATATTATTATTGTAATAAATAAATAAATAAATAAATCATATTAATCTCTCTAAATTTGTAGTTTTGAAATTCACATTTTACACCCATTAATTATAATGATCTCATATTCTCAGATCCGAAGAGTTTATTCGTTAATTACATCATGTTTAACTTAACATGTGACTTTAAAAATAAATTTGCACACAATGGTATCTTATCTAGTATTACAAATACACTACAAATCAAATCAATTCATTGAAAAACTGTATAAACCGTAAAAGATGTTAATTAACAGTTTGTCATCAAATGTTAACGAACTTAATACACGTGATCGATGATTACTAAGTTAAGATCGATGATTTATTTTTGTTAGCAATCTAATTAAAATCAAATTCCTTTAAAATTCATCTTCTTTATAGATGTTTGAGGAGATTTTTGAATGTTATTGATATTACGAACCGATATCCATTAAAAACCTGGAAGTACTACTCATCAGTAATATTCAGTAATCTCCACGAATCTCTGTACTGATAATTGTCAGGCTCTCACTAGTAAATAACTTCGAAAGGCAATTCTGGAATTCTCGCAGGAAGTCGTGACCAGTAAATTTCAGATGTGTTAGTTATAAGTCAGTTACCTTACAAAGACAAAAAAAGTTGGCAGCCGAATGTAGTATAAATTAAGTGGAGCTGAACAAATACATTATCAAATTTCCTACTCAGTTGTCTGTAGGTTAAGTGTTTGAACATTAGACTGAAGTTTGTGGTGTCACTCTTCTGTAAGATTGTGGATGGTCGTATCTGTGAAGTACCATACTAGAACAAAAAAGCTGTTCATTGCTTCTTGCTTGTCGGTGAATGTATAACGGTTGAATTCGGGATCTGAATAAAACTTACCTTTTTTTAGATATCTAACTGTGATTAAAAATGATTTTAATTTAATGTACATTTAAGTTTTGTAATTCCTATGGGAATTAAATATTTTATAAATCTTAAGATTTTTTTAAAAAACTGCTTCATTTATACAGTTAGGTTTTATCACAAATTTATTTAGAATTAAAAATCATTTCTGGATATTTTGACATTAATAATGATAAAAAAAATAATGCTAAAATATACAAATCTAATATTTAAGAAAGAGAAATCCTTGTTTTATTTTTATATGTAGACTCGAAATATGATTTCAAGAACAATATTGGAATGTGAAGTATATTGTGCTAGTTTAATTCCATGTCAAGGTAAACTAGATCAATATTTACCTCAATCTATATTCAGTATTGATACATATGGTTCATTAACTATTTCTCAATGGAAAATTATAACAAATAATAAAGATACAGTTCTCAATGAACCTACATTATGCGATGAAACATTAGAAATTGGAACAAACATTTTTAAAGAGGTGAGTTTCCTTATATATATGTATATAAATATATATTTATGACAAGTAACGATTATTTTGGGTATGGTCAACTTCTACAACATTTTTATTTCATCCATACATCAAATGATATATACATAAAATCAACTCTTGTTGAATGGTGGGAAGTATAAGTGGTCTCAGTAATACCTATGATCGCTCAATAAAGGGAACAAAGTGTTATCATATACTGTATTGATTTAATGTGAGCCTACTATGATTCTAAATTAGAAATTATGGTGGTTGAGGATGCTTCAAATTGCAGCATTTGTGCAGTTATTTCACAGAGATGGCCATATGCTACTCGTCCGGGATACTCAGAAGTACCAAACCTAATTACAGCCCTATAAAAAAAGGGAATTCTCCTAAATATTCTTTATTTATCAAGTTTCACGAAATGTTCCATAGTAGACATCTGACATAACTTATAGACCACAAACCATTAGTAACGATCTCTGGATCGGTGAGACGATAACTTAGGAATAAATCAATCATGTTTAAGATACCGTATCTTAAATTTTGACGCGAAATTCACTCACTATATGGCTAAATAACATTTCAACATTATAGCTAATGTCGTTTCGTGATGAAAATCCTAACTTCTAACTCTAAATACCGATTCCGATTTCTTAAACTAATTTATAATTGTTTTTAGACCCTATTAGGTAGGTGGAGTTTATTAACTATATATATATATATATATATACCACTAAAGAAGTAGTTTCTCTAGGGTATTCACTACTTTGTGTATGATAAGAAGATTCAATATTGAATTGGTATTTATCATATTTCTAAGTAAAACAATATAACGTTAGTTGTGTTAAACAATGTTGTTTTTTTAAATCATTAAATTACATTTACAAATTGACAATAAGAATTTAATTGGAAATTAAAACTGAAAATTTGGCAAATAAGCAAACATGAATTAAGTAGAGTTTGATATATAAATTAAATAGGAGTAAAATTGTAGAAATCTGATGTCGTTCTATATTAATCAGTCTCTCTGACTATAACATTCCAATAATTAATTAATTTTAAACAAATCATATATACATGTTTGTATTAATTATGCCTACAATCGTAGACTTTCTGTAAATATTCATAGTTCTTAAATATTGTTGTAATTAACCAGTCGTTGATTTGATACTTATTTGCTATAACAAGCAACGTTAAGTAATAAATGTAAGAAATTTAAGGCCAGTTAATTCAAAAATCTCAGAGATATTTTGTGTTTATTATCAGCTATCACCAACCCTGGTATAGATTGACAGTTAATATGTTCGGTTAAGTGGAAGACGAGTGCAACCAAACCAAAACATTACTTCAGTTCATGAAAACTGTTGGACTGCGTCGTATGATTAGTGTAGATGTTATATCAGGCTGATAAGCATTGAGCAGATAAACACAGTAGAAAGGATCCATTTCTGTATAAATAATTTATTTGTCATATATTAAGGGATATTTCCTTAATCGACATTCATGGCTCACGGTGAACGTTAAATCTTCAAATCGTTTTTATCCATTAGTCCATATTTTGAAATTCCATTAACTCATAATCTGTACCAGCTCTCATCCACCTCCGACTACTTTACTCTCGATATGGGTGAGCTTCCTATGTTTAGACTTCCAACTAGAACTTCAGGAGCTTATCTCTGAGTAAATCAGTAGTGATCATAAAATTATATTTTGGATGGAAGAGTTTTGTAGAGATCCGTATAATCTTTAAAAGACCGGTGGGTGTTTACTGCTGAAAGGTTTCATAGTATCACGAAATCGATATTCAGTCTTCCTCCCAAGTTAGACGTTGGCAATTACTACTAGTAAATTAAATGACTTTTCACAATCTTTCTGCACTCAATATTCTCTGTATATTCATTTTTTTTTGTTGAAAAAAGTGATATTAGTCACATACTTGCATCAAACTAGTGAATAATTTTAAAGTCATTGAATAATACGTAATATTTCCGTTGTTCTGTTGTTCACTTTTTGTTTCTAAAACATTAAAATAAAATTCTACTAAGATATCACGTAAAGGAAAACATGGAGATTTTAAATATTGTACATATATTCACGACAACTTTCGTTCACAACCCAATGGTGAATTAAAATTAAATAAAACAAACTCAAATATTGATAATTCACAAATGTATTCATTCAATGATATAAATCCATGTGAATTTAGTTTTATTACTGCAGCTTATGAATGTACAAGAAGAAAAATTCTACGTTTAACAAATTGGATTTGTAAAAGTAAAGGTTTACGTAATACTGTATCATATAATAAAATTTTATCAAATGATCCTAATTCTAATTTAATTGATATGACAGTTATTGAAAGTGGATGTTCTGGTAGTTTATGTATGTGTTTTACAAATGAAATATTTTGGCTTAGTTTACATGTAAGTCTTGATATTGTTTTTGTTTATTATTATTAATTATTATTGTTATTATCTATTTCACACAACATCTATGAATCAAAACTGTATTTAAGTGATATTGTTTAGATTTGTTTTCTGACAGTTTATCATATCTTACAAACTAGCATAACTAGTCATGATGGAGAAGATTTGTAGCTCAGGTGGATGATTTTGATGGAGTTTTGTTCTCTGAGCTGGATGGTTTGGTCGTGGAGCTTTCATCGTTCTTCTGAACGACATCATCAGCACAAACTTCAGATTGAAGTGAAGTGTTCGATTTTCTCCATGATGTCGTTCAGAAGAACGATGAAAGCTCCACGACCAAACCATCCAGCTCAGAGAACAAAACTCCATCAAAAAAAAAATAACTAGTCATGAATCAGTTTTAAATGATATTAAACTACAGATAAATAATTATCTTTCAATATTTCTTTAATGTTATTTAGTTCCTTCCACAATTAATATTAGTTTGTAGCAAACATTATAGTTTATTTAATCTAACTCATTATAAAAAGTTTCATGAATAACATCTACAAATATTCGCAAACTTCTATCAAGAGGATGCAAACAGTGAATTTCAATCATGTTGGTATTAAGACGAATATCATTAATGAAAATTAATAATGTTTGTGTAATATTGCAAATTGGCAAAAATTAAATTTGTAAACTATTGAATACTAACTCTATGGGTCAAAGATATCATCCTTACTACAATTCTAAAAAATGGACTAAACATAATAGAACTAACAGGAGTATCATTCTCTAACATGTTTTTGGGAGAAAGTGGTTTGAAACTGAAACTAAGAGCTTTCTTAATCTCTTCATATTTCTTTAATGAAACAAGTTATTTGGCTTACTTAAAAACCAAGTACACTACAGATCCAAAATGCTAGAATCTTTTTTTTTGCTAACTAGTAGGAATAGTTTTATTTTATGAACTACGATCATCTTTAAACGTTCCCACAACTTTTTAACCAGATATATCTTTTCGCTATGATGACAACAACAATTTGTATTACTGATTTTCCTATTATCGAAATTATGTATTGTCGTATAGACGTTTCAAATCTAATGTAATAATAGTTTACTACAGTGAAACCCCAATAAAGCATTCAATTTACTTGAGTTTCCTATTTATGCGACCCTAAGAATAAATGACTTATATCGTTTAATTAATGTATCTAGAAATACATCACCTTGTTTTGCTAATATAGCACAATGTTTCATAACATTATCTTAGCTATCGTGTTATAGTTCAAGGACACAGTACATCGTTTAACATAAAGATTTATTGAGTCAAAAGTTTCCCTTTTAGTAATATCATTGTTGTAAAAAAACTACAAAAGGTTTCCAAATAATACTGTAGCTAACGAAAAAATCATATGGGGAAGACCGGTTTTTTGCTTAATGAGAACTTACAGTGTCTTAACAAAATACAAAAGTCATATATCCAACACATCACTTGCACATCTTCTATCAGTTCTCTCTTACAAACTTCATCGTTTCTTTATACCTGTTGTTATTGTAAATACTTTCTGTTTATATTCCTGTTCTCTTCTCAAACTTCTGCCCTCAAGCATTCATCTTCTGATTGGTGCCACATACTATTTATATTTGTCAGCATAATTAGCATACATCACAATACTTTTAAATTAACCATGGTTTTAAACTAACTGAATGACTTCTATAATAATCAACAATTGGAAAACATTTATATTCTCATCGCCATAACTCCTTAATATATACCAATAGAACTAATCGACAAAGTTTGTGTTTGATTAAGATACATCTATAAATTATCAATGTAAAACAGTAACCTACCATATCTCTCCTATATGTCAACATTATATATACAATTCCAAGTTCAATGTAATTTTGTTCAACATTAACATGTACAAATGAAGTAATAAAATAGATTGGAAAATTCAAATTGTCTGTTGTATAGTTTTTTTGGCTTCCTCGTGAATTAAATAACAAATGCACATATTTCTATTGAACTCTCTATAGATTAAAAATGTACTATTCAGATTGTTTTTCTAAGAAAAATCATCTAATTTCTTATTTTCATTACTGTTTCACTTAGAAAACATTGATTTGCTCTTAGAAATTTCTATCATAAGAAAAAACTAATCTTTTTATTTTCATGTAAGCAAACAAATTTTTTTACCTAAATGTATAGGAATCTTCACTGGATGTTGTTTACTTGTATCTCCTCATTTTACAAGCAAGTGGCTATCAGAACTTAGTAGCTAAATGGATAACGCGATTGAGTTTGAAGCGAATGGTACTGGGTTCGAATCCCAGAGTGGACATGAACTCTGAGATGCAGGTATATCCAGCTGACGAATCCCAGGTAGGACGAAACGCGCGTCCTGGATTCCACTGCTAGCCACTATCTATCTTTGCTTGCGTAGAAAACTATTTGCGATAGATATTATTGATTTCCTACTTATGTTCCATCATCATGAGCATCTAATTATGAAACAATACAAAGACGCAAGGATTCAATGTTTAAAGGTGGTAACACACTCAAATTCCATCTCATTTACTTCAGTTGAATCAACTAGGCACATTGTAATCACATTTCTGATATCGGAAAATTTAGTTAAAAGTTTATCAAATGTATTATTATATGGTTACCAAATAATATTTACTTATGATATGGATTAAAGAAAGCAATTTGTTTTTAGTCTTAATTTAAGGTTAAAATTAGTTTTGTAATAATAGGACGTTTATTCAACCTCAGAATATGTTAGACATGCATATTATCTCAATAATTGAGATCATGAGTCAATTAAAGCTGGACCTACATGGAAAACCTGAAGGTACTGGAATGGCCGTGTTTCGACTGCTCATGACTCATGATCTCAACTATTGAAATAACTATAATATCCACAAAAACCTCTTCTGATATATATTATCATTTATAATTATTTTCTTTTGTTTTTTTGTTTATCTCCTCATTTGCATCATTTTAAATCGAATAATTTGAAGACATTTGATATATTATCCAAATTTAAATTACCTACATTTATGCAACCAATTAATTGTTTATCAAAATCATGGCCACAACCAGCTGATTTAAATCAATCTCAGCATAGACGTACATGGATATCTGTAAATAGAAATCGTTTATTAGAAATTTCTCCATTCGAAAGTCAACGTCGATTAGATACAAAAGGTAGAAGTTGTCTATTAGTTTGCTCTGTACTATCAACTGATTCACAGATTACAACTGTTTCATCGGGTTTAGGTATTACACCCATTGTAAGTAAAACAATTTTATTTCTTTATATATAATAGCATTAATATAATATTGGATAACTGCTTTGAATAATTGTCTTTGATTTTATTTCTTTTCCATTTTTTTACACCAAAATGTTGAATATTCCATACTATGTTGTCTTATCAACCTCATTTTCCGCCAAAGCATGACATTATGTACAACATATTATTTTATTAAATATTGAAGTAACTGATATACGATCAACATACAAATTAGGTATCTAGGCAGATTATCTCTATATTCATCAATGAAAAGAACTGAACGATAAATGCTTATTTACTTAAGTAGTAATTTCATCATGCATGTGAGAAATCAATTAAAATAACTTCGTAAAGAAATAAATTCTGTTAAAGGCGTTTTGTACCATGAAAGTAAAATTTGAATATATATTTATCATCCATCTTTTCATGTAATTTATAATTATATTGATTGCGGACATTTAACCTTGGAACTAAATATTATGAATAATGATTGAACGTTGATTCTATCCTCATCCAACATCGATAGACTATCTCAATCTTACTTCCTTAATAAATAAAATAACTTATCATTACTTATTTGATCATTTAAACATCAACAAAATGTGGTTGAACCATTTTTAAGAAAAAGATGACTGATAATTCTCTGCTCATTTCAACCAATTTAACTGAGTTTGAAATGTGAGGCTAGACCTTACTAAGTAGCATTTATAATGAAATGTAGTTAGTTGCAATTCTGATCATTTCACGATAATTTAAAGGAAAACTCTATTATTGAAATGAACTCAAAATTCATTTAGCGATTGTACATCTTAACTCAGTCAAAAAGAAGTTTAGAACTGGTTCATTATATGTATCCACTCAAATTCTTATTGACCTTGAGTCTTCATCAAGTCAACTGATCAAATCTATAGATTTTGTAGTGTTGTTAGTGTATGAAAATTCATAATTTTTGGAACAATTATCAACAAAGATATTTTTATTGTTCATGCTATCGAATGAAAAAGCTGATCAAAGACAAATGCATCCCTGAAGGAAATGAATTATCTAAACTAACTTTTTCCTCGCATACATAAATCTAGCATAACTGCATTTATGGTAACTTTTAACCACATAAGAAATTCAGTGATTAACAGAAAAGGCTAAAGCGTTTTTCTACAGTTTTTTCCGCTTTTATGCACACAAAATGTTGAAGGACAATGTTTTTCGGAATCTTTACAAAAGATTCTAATTGTTTGTCAAAAACTACTGGCCTAATACAGTAGATAATCCCGATAATTTGGATAAACGTGAAATTCCATGACATTATACTCAATGACAGGCAACACTTCCTTGTGAAGTTTGCTTCTTAAATGGGAAGAGAAATTAATTGTTAGTAATCATTACACACATTTATTCAGTGATCTCTATTGTATGACAATAATAGTAATTTACTCATCAAAAATCTAACCTTAATATCGTTGCCATATCACATGTGTGATTGTTTTTTAATCCGCTTTTTTCCTGGAAAATCAGTTGGTAGACGCGATAAATTTTAGTTATTATGATGAAATCCCATCGGTACATGTAATTTCATGTATGATTGTGAAAACTTCACCCAACAATGTCATGGTAGCCAATAATTTATTATCATAATTCAACGTTTCTTAAATCAAGCAAACTGAAAGTAATAATCGATAGGTTTAGAAACATATATCCTCAACGACTTAATCACACCTTCATGTGCTAGTGAATATAAATCTAATTTATGTTATGTTAAGCTTTTGTTGAAAATAAGAGTAACTCAACTGACGTTTCAATAACACTGCATATAGACCACTATGATTGAAAAACCCACGTCCACTAAGCACAAATATCAGTGTTGTGTATAAGTTAACCATGTTCTAGAACGTTGACCATATTCTTTTATTTTCACTAACCAACGTTTATTCCCCTACATTTTAGTTAGTATACGTATTCCAAAACGTTTGAATAACTAATTTCCCCGATCATATCCTTGATTAAGAGATCCCTTTCATTATATCACAGATAATATTGAGGGGGGGTGACTGAGAACAAACGCATTTCATTCTAAGATATTATCTTCCAACACAAACCAATTGTACATTTTAAAATCAAGTGCTTATACTGAAAGATTTAATCAAATTAAATTATAAACTTCTAAATTTACGATTGCTACTTTTAGTGAAAATCACTATTACGATCCACTGTTATAACAACAATTGTATGACACATAGTTTAATGGTATGATACATCTGACATTGTTTGTTACTTTAGATTGCAACAGCGTTAGAAAATGGTGAAATTCATCTAACAAATATCCCTGAATCTTGTTTTAGTTGTATGGTAAGTCTCAGTTATTTGAAAAAATGTATTGTTTTACGGTGATACTGTATACCTTTCCAGTTGTTTCATTCAAGCATTATTGAGTACGCTGTTTTAGGATAGAATAAGTTTCAAACAAAGATCATCAGTTATGGATTGAACAGATAAAAAAGTGCATGATATTTACAAGCTGAATAGGATTGATTCATATCGATCCACTTAAGCCTATAGAGTATGATTGTGACATGAAATGTAGATCCTGAATCTGTTTACTCCCCCTCTTTTTTAGTCTATTCTAATTGTACAGTTACTTGAATAAATGTATACTGAAGAGTTGTGGGTTACACGAAATCCTGATCTGTGTTAAAGATGCTACCAATTAATGTTAAAAAATATTTCATTTATAAAAGAACTAGTTTGTTGATCAGAGCAACAAATACGTTCAATACCTCCCCAGTAAAGAAACGGAAATATTCTTTTATCTGTGTCTTGTCAGTAAGCAATGTAGTTTATTCGTTGATGAAAAAATTATAGCTTCGTTTAATAAATTTGTACACCGATTGGGCACAGGCCTCTGATTATGAATTTCTGCCAATTACTTAATTTTCTTTTAAGATTGTTAATGATTTACTAGTTGACATCATTTTGAATAAAAACTTGTTGTATAAGTCCCTTAAACTATTGCACAATATCTTGCAGTGAATCTAATCATAATGTTAATATTGAAACGTATGTACACGATATGCGTTAGTTAGTTCGTTCCTGCCAGTGTATCATAAGAAAGTAGAAGCTCTGATGAACTGCACACTCAAATCAATCATGATTTTCCACCACTCAAACAATATCACTCTTTTCTTAATTATTCTGCTAATACAACCAGTTATTTATGTACTTTTTAACTACTTATATCAATCAGTAGTATAATTCAAGATATACTTAAATACTTTTAGTCTCTGTAGGACTTTCCGCTTATATTATGGAAAAACAAGCCAATTTTAAAAACTAATTACCATGTTATTCACAGAAATTCGGCGTAAAAATTGCAACAAAACGACAAGCAAAAATTATGCATTGTAAGATTTATCGAGGCACTCTCCACATTCATGAGTGTGTGGCACAACTTGTTACATTTCAAAAAGAACGTGATATCTTTGTTTAGCATAAGTTGATTTTCTTTTATGTCAGTCGGATATTAGATTCACAACAAAATTAAAATGTATCGTAGTTGTAATGAAAATATGAAATTAGTTGAAAGTATTACTTTTCTTCATAGACCTACATCATATTACAAATATGATACATAGATCACAAATTTTTAATTCAAATTTTCTTATTCCATTAGGTTGAATTTTGTTCTCTTGGTTTTATCAATAAAAATGAATTAGTGAATCATGTTGTACAAGATCATTATTTAGGCGAATCAACCGATGAATTTCGATGTAATTGGGCTTCATGTGATCTATATCTTCCGTTGAATTGTTCACAATTTAATAAAGAGGTATGATTGTTTATGTATATTTAGAATAAACCAATAAGTTTTTTTAAAATCTTAAAACAAATAGATAGATGTGTTAATTTTGAGAATTTAAGAACTTCTAAAGTGTAAATATTCATGTTATAGTTAGCTTTATATTATAGAAAAGTATCAACATTTCAAGGTGATTTTCATCACAACTCATTATCAACCGATTAAATATTTACGAAGGCTGGTTGTGAGTACACCAGTTTAAGTGTGTAGTATTTACATTTCTTTACGAAATATAAAAATTATAATTTCAGTAGTAAAATATAATCTTAGTTATCCTTATGAATTATCTTGGAAACTGACAATTTTTTAGAAGAAATAAGCCTATAATACTCAAATAAATGTAAACAAACATTCTCACTAATTTTTATCCTTCTCTTTAAATATTTCTGTTATTTTATTCAGAGGAAATAAGATAATCATCGTTAGAAAACAAAGGACTTTCAATATTGCTTCTGTTGAATCTTATAATTGGTTTATATTACTTCTAATCAGAAAAAATGGTAGTTCGAGAAACTGACTAATTTATATTGAAAACTTTGTTATCATGTCATATTTTAAAAAAAAAGTAGCTACATTTTGATAACTATTCAGATAGTGCATACAATTATAGTTTTAATATCTACAAAATGTCATTGAAATCATAAACTGATCAATGTTAAACTATTATTGAAACCTGAAAGCAGTAAATGGTGGTCTAACCTTGATCTGCTCACGATTTCAGTAAAACTCAACAATCTTACTTACTTACTTACGCCTGTTACTCCCAATGGAGCATAGGCCGCTGACCGGCATTCTCCAACCCACTCTATCCTGGGCCTTCTTTTCTAGTTCCATCCAATTCTTGTTCATTTTTCTCATGTCTATCTCCATTTCTCGGTGTAATGTGTTCTTTGGTCTTCCTCTTTTCCTTTGACCTTCAGGATTCCATGTGAGGGCTTGTCTTGTGACACAGTTGGGTGCTTTCCTCAATGTGTGTCCTATCCACTTCCAGCGCTTCTTCCTGATTTCTTCCTCTGTTGAGATCTGGTTTGTTCTCTCCCATAGTAGGTTGTTGCTAATAGTGTCCGGCCAACGGATCTGAAGTATTTTACGTAGACAACTGTTGATAAACACCTGTATTTTCTGGATGATGGCTTTCGTAGTTCTCCAGGTTTCTGCCTCATACTGTAGAACTGTCTTGACATTTGTATTAAAAATCATGACCTTGGTGTTGGTTGACAGTTGTTTTGAGCCCCAGATGTTTCTCAGTTGTAAATATGCTGCTCTTGCTTTGCCGATCCGCGCCTTCACATCTGCATCAGATCCACCCTGTTCATCAATGATGCTGCCCAAATACGTAAAGGTTTTGACATCTTCCAAATCTTCTCCGTCAATTTTGATTGGATTGGTGCATTCTGTGTTTTATCGGGGAATCCTGCTTTTCCCTTTGTGTATATTGAGACCTATTGCTGCTGAGGCTGCTGCCACACTGTTCGTCTTCTCCTGCATCTTTTGTTGCGTTTGGGATAGAAGGGTCAGATCATTTGCGAAGTCTAGATCGTCCAACTGCATCTTAGATGTCCATTGTATCCCGCGCTTCCCTTCAGACGTTGACGTCTTCATGATCCAGTCGATCATCAGGAGAAAGAGAAAGGGTGAGAGTAAGCAACCTTGTCTGACACCGGTCCTCACTTCGAACGACTTTGTCAACTGTCCTCCATGCACGATTTTGCAATGTAATCCATCATATGAACTCTGTATGATGTTGATTATCTTCTGAGGCACGCCGTAGTGTCGAAGAAGTTTCCATAGTGCTGTTCTGTCCACTCTATCAAATGCCTTTCCGTAGTCAATGAAGTTGATGTAGAGTGATGAATTCCATTCAATTGATTGTTCCACAATGATCCGTAGAGTTGCGATTTGGTCTGTACACGATCTATCCTTACGGAATCCTGCCTGTTGGTCACGAAGTTGGGCATCTACGCAGTCCTTCATCCTGTTTAACAATACCCTGTTGAAGACTTTTCCCGGTATTGAGAGAAGAGTGATGCCCCTGTAGTTATCACACTTGCTGAGATCGCCTTTCTTCGGTATTTTGATCAGTAGTCCTTCTTTCCAGTCTGTTGGTACTTGTTCCTCATCCCAAATCTTATTGAAGAGAATGTGGAGTATCCGTGCAGTTGCCGCTACGTCTGCTTTTAGTGCCTCTGCTGGGATGTTGTCCGGTCCTGCTGCTTTGCCACTCTTGATTTGTCTGATGGCCATGCTGATTTCTTCAATTGTTGGTGGGCCAACATTGATTGGGAGGTCCGTGGGTGCTGCTTCGATGTTGGGTGGGTTCAGTGGAGCTGGTCGATTCAACAGTTCTTTGAAGTGTTCTACCCACCTGTTTTGTTGCTCTTCAATGTTGGTGATTACCTTGCCTTCCTTGCTTTTCACTGGTCGTTCTGGTTTGTGGCGATTTCCAGATAGTTTCTTTGTCGTGTCATACAATTGTCCCATGTTTCCTTCTCTTGCAGCCTTTTCCGCCGTCGTTGCTAAATCTTCCACATATTTACGTTTGTCGGTTCTGATGCTCTTCTTCACTTGTCTGTTTAATTCTGTGTATTCAGCTTGTGATGGTGCTTCTTGTGACCCAGGACCTTATGACATGTTGAAGTGATTGCCTCTTTGATCCCCTTCCAGTTGCTCTCCATAGTAGTTCCTTCTCCATTGAGTAGATCATGAAAGGCCTGGAACTTGTTGCTGAGGTCTATCTTGAATTCGTTGAGTTTGTTAGTATCCTGAAGAAAAGCCATATTAAACTTTTGTGATGTTGTCCACCTCGTTATCCAGTGCTTCTTGAGTTTCAATTTCATCTTGGCGACCAGTAAGTGATGATCTGATGCTATATCAGCTCCTCTCTTGGTTCTCACGTCCTCTATAGTCCTCCTGAACGTTTTGTTGATGCAAATATGGTCGATTTGGTTTTGTGTAGAGTGATCCGGTGAAGTCCATGTGGTTTTTTGAATGCGCTTATGTGGGAATATGGTGCCGCCTATGGCCAGTTTATTGAAGGCACATAGGTTTGTAAACCTCCCATCATTTTCGTTCCTTTCTCCCAATCTGTGTCGTTCCATGATGTCTTCATATCCACTGTTGTCCATTCCAACCTTGGCATTGAAATCTCCCATCAGAATGGTCAGGTCCTTTGTTGGGCACTTCTCGACTATTGACTGCAGCCTATTGTAGAATTGATCTTTAGCGTCTTCATTGTAGTCGTTGGTAGGCGCATAGCATTGGATGATGTTCATTGAAATACCCTCTCTTTGTTTTGAAGGAGGCTTTGATGATCCTTGGTCCATGAGATTCCCATCCTATAAGTGCATTTTGCGCTTGTTTGGACAGCATCAATGCAACTCCTTGTGTATGTGGGGCATTTTCTTCTTCATGGCCGGAGTATAACAGGAGCTCTCCTGTAGTTAGTCGTTGTTGTCCAACTTGTGTCCAATGTGTTTCACTGATCCCAAGTACCTCTAGGTTGTATCTTCTCATTTCTGCAGCAATCTGGAAGGCTCTTCCGGTGTCCCACATTGTACGAACATTCCATGTACCTAAATAAATGGTCGCTCTGGTTGTCAGAAGGGCCATCGGCCTCGTAACTTCCGAAGGGATTCGGCTTTCATCATGAGGCGTCATAATTCTTCTAAATGAAGATCTTCTGACTCCCAGGGCAGAGTTTAAAAGGTTTGAATAATTTTTTATGGTTAGCGTTTTTTTAGCGAGTTAGTTTTCTATGGGATGGGGACGCTAACCCCATGCCCAACCCTCCTCCTTTATCCGGGCTTGGGACCGGCAGTAGCCCCCGGAGGGACTCCAGGCGGAGTTAAAACTCAACAATCGCCACAACCTTATACTAATAATATACAAAATCTCTAGATTAATAGTGAATAATCAATAAATCAAGGTGATCTCGTGTGCTGTTAGATGTATAAGATGGAGTTATGGCTATTTGATTGCACACACTGTAGAAAGATACCTGCTCATGAAACTGGATTAGTAGTGTGGTCCTAACGATCTTAGCGCGTGATTTTAGGAAGAAAAGGATGACTTCTTGAGGTCAGTCACACATAGCATTTTAGTGATTAGTTTCATGCGTTTTAGCCCTGTACTTATCACTAGAGACAGAAATCCATAGGGCAGAGTGAAGTGTTCTATTCTTAGAGCTGACCTTTTCTAATTTTCAATCTGTTGTGAAAAGATATCATCCTCTAAGAGCAACAGCTTACTGCCATCACAGTCCTATAAAATCAAGTAGGATCACTTTGTTCTCATACCTTAAATTGCTGCTTGAGTTCTTATCGTTTTAAAACCAACGTGCTTTGTATGACAAATCCTCAAGAACCAAGTTTTTCATCCAATATAGCTCGACTGAGCAATCGTGATAAATAAACCTGACCACCTTTGCAATAGAATAGCTGTTTTGAAGTTATTCAATGCTGTACAATATCAGTAATTAGACTGATCAACATGACGTTTTCTTCATTATTATACAATCTTTAGTAGTTGTTTTTTTAAAAATTTCACTCATCACCTAATTACTAGGTAATTTTTTTTCCTTAATCCCATTTTATTGCTTTTTTCCTGTCACAAATTTAGATATTAGAAGATCATGCTCATCAACATGTATATTCATAAGAAAAATCTAATTTTTCTTTATTTAACTATCATTTTAGTAAAAATTTAATAAATGTATTGTTTATTGTTTATTATTATTAATTTATTATTCACTTCCTGTTTGTTTATTTGTTTACAAAAATAATACATAACATTTAAACAAATCTAATTTAAAACTACCTAAGATTTCGTCCGCATTTTCATCATATATTTATGCATATATATATATATATATACATTTGTTTGAATGAATTGAAAGCATTCTAAACAAATTTTTATTTGCTGAAAGATCAATATTCTATTGTTTATTGTTCTATGCTTCTCTTTCAACAGTAATTTGTTTTTCTTACAGTATCAACCAATTAACACATTATCATATTGTTTTAATAAGGATAATAAGAAATTGTGTTACCTACATAGATATTAATCACTTGGTAAATGTAATAAGGAATCAACTACATAACTTTGTTTACTTTTTAAAGAACTTATTGTTGTTGTTGTTGTTGATAAATTCCTGTTTATCAAAAAAAAAAGAAGAATATTTGAGTGAACAATTGTTTTCAATAGCTTCATCATCAGGCTCTACTGTTATAAGTTCATAATTATAATATTTTATGAAGGCCAAAATAAGGCAATGCATTAATGAGTTTGACATTGTTATGTGTTAAAAATAGTGAATGTTTGCATCTGTTACGATTGTTTATTAGTTAACAATCCCAATATGAGTATTTAAATAAAAAAGAAATTTATCACTAACTATTAAATTCTGCATTATTTCTACCCATTTACAAGGTGTCATATTTTTTTATATAATTACTAGAAGATATGTTGAATGTTTTAATGAAATCATTTTAATATGAATAATACTTGGTTTGTAAGCAGTCAACAAGGGTTCCTAAGTTTTCGTTTGTTTGTTTGTTTTCTAATGTTGATCATTGGAATTGTAGATGAGCGTTAATAACTGATCAATTGAAATCATACAACCATTTTTTTTACTAATATCTTCTCGAAAACTTGAACCCAACACTGATTATTTCAAATGTTTTAATGTAGAAACACTCAATTACCAAAATCATGAAGGTTTTTTTTTGTTTGTTTCATTTTGTTATTTCTCTATCACTAACGTAACTGTGTTATTTGATCTCTTTTATCTTCAATAAACTTTATCTTTGCCGACTGAATTCATTGAAATACACAAGCCATGAAAAAAATTACACTTCAGATACGGCTTGAAAAGAATCACGATTAATAAATGCTTATTGTATATTTGTATTATGGTTTTTTTATTTCTCCCCACCCCATAGTTCAAAGACGCCGTGACTTCAGAAGAAGCATCATTATTTAAGATATTATGGATATCTGATAATTAAGGCGTGTAATATCATTGCCACCCACAAATGTTCAGTTAATCATTAAGCCGACACTTTATTAAACAATAATGAGTAGATACGTTATGCCATCGAGTCAAGTGAAATGCTTCCTAAAAAACATAGGTATTTTCTAATTATGTCAGTTAAAAACGAGATGCTGGATAGGGAATTCACAAATTCAGAAAAGAAAATAATAAATTTAGCACGAAATAACGTGACGTACTGATTGATTATCTCCCATTAATATATGCACTAGTAATAGCTCAAACGATGAATAAATGGATTTCATATTTTCAGTTTACCTACTAGAAGTTAATTTAATAAAAAAAGGAATAGAATTTCAATCTTGACCATATCCACTTTTGATCTAACAGTAGTATTACTCAGTATTTTGGAAATGTCTTAATTAGCTTACTATAAAACAAGTTAATTCAAACACTTTGACAGTATGTGATATGTCAGCTATTCTTCCAGGTCTTATATGCAAACAAGTTTGTTGTAATGTGGTTACTTCTCAAAAGTGTTAGTTAGCAGAGCTCATATTCATTGATTGAATAATTCTTATATCTAGACTTTGTTGTACATGGACTAGTCAGTATGACATACTCAAATCTTTAGTGGAATATTGCTACCCGTAGGATTCAAATCTGTATCACTCAGTTTTACCATAACCAAACTATTTTGACAGGAATAAACATTTTGTATCTTCACGTCCTAACATAAACACCAAGTTTAAGGCTTCCTCCTGATTACCTACAATAGCTAGACACAAACCACAGTGTACTGCAAAATCCAGTTAATTAAACTAAGGAATATATTGTAACTGAATCGATAGATTATAACTGAGAACAATGGTTATGACTCACTGAATAGTAGACGCAACAAAGCTTATGTTAAGCTAAAGTTTTAGGTATTGAAAAGAATAGTGAACAGCAGCAAATGCCAAATAATGGAGATATTCTGTCTCCAAATTTATGTTACTTAAAATTAAATTACGATAAAGAAATATTTTTTTGAAATTGCTTAAGAAACACATTATCTATCCAGAACTATACTGAATGGCTGATTTAAAATATGTCCTGTACTACTAACCTGTTAACACCATGTTTAAGAAGTATTAAAATACAAAGTTGGTTCTGTTAACTAATTCATTTCTACAACTTTTTGGACAAAATGTACACAATATTACATGCCTAATCTCTGCCACTGTACTTTCCTCCTAGTGTTATAAATTATTTTCAATTTTTTTCGAATATTGCGTAACTAGAACAGCATACTGAATACTAATAAACAAGTGCTTTCTAACAGAATACTTTGAATAATAGTCTTCTTTTGAAATGTATTTATGTATAAAGCAATTTAACCAACTTTTTATGTTTATATTACATATAACGTGCAGTTTTCTATTCAGTGAATGTTCTCATGCACAGGTTTATGCTCATCATATTTCAATTCATCTGGAAAATTTATATACAAGATAAAGTACAATTAAGTTCATAAGTGAAACAAATATTTAAATAAAACGTTTACGAGTTTAATTAAAAGCCTTGAATAATACAATAGTATGAGGATCAAGACCAGCATAAAAATACTAACTAGAAGATTGTCACTGTTCAATCTTACACACGGGAATAGTTTAACTTTGACCTAAACAAAACCAAACTGACAGGCTGTTTTGGGTAAAACCTCAGATTATATCGTAAATCCTTGCATATCCTATTTGATAATCTGCACGAATTAACACATTTTTTTGTGCATAATAGGTTCAGTAAACATTATTTATATGATATTCGCTCAGGTCGTGAAAAACGACAGTCCTTTATTGATGAAGTGCCGTTCATTTACCATTATCCAATTATTATACAACTTTTAAAAGCAAGTTAATAGATAGTGAAACGGTTCATAGAAGAATAAAGTCATAAATGAACAAATATCAGAGGATTTTGTCCATTAGTTCTGAAAACAATCCGTTTTATTTAATATTAAGATGAAGAATGAAGTAGGTTAGCCATGTAACCAATGCTTCATCATATGGAATGGGAACATTCAAGGTGATTAGACAATTATTGATATATGGGAAACAATTCATCAGCCACATGAAAACCATACATTATCATAACAAATTCTGATGAAAGACGGAGAATAGCTTAGCTTGTCTTACAGCTATTTAGATTGTCAGGTTTTTTAACAAGGTTCATAGCCAACGAATTAACATACAACTTCAATTTGGATAGATTAACGGACGACGTAATGGTTCTGTAGGAGAGTTCTCTGAACCTATAAAATAAACGCTTGAATAAGGAATCGAAAAACCGATTTCTAAGTCTAATAACAAATACTTTAAACGCATCAGAATGTCAAAGTAAAGGTTTATTTGGTTTTCAATGTGTTACTGTTATAACTACTTGTAAGTCGCTAACGTTTGTTAACTAATATAGTATCTAAAATACTAGCCTCGATAATTATCAAACGCTTAACTAAGACTCGTGAACTGCAAACACGAGAGAATCAAGCTGGTTTCAGACCTGATCGTGGCTGCATCGACCACATATTCACCACTCGTCAGGTTCTAGAACATTGGCATACTTATCGGCGTCCGACAATGGTGGTCTTTCTTGACTTAAAAGCAGCATTTGACTCGGTAGACCGCGAGATCCTGTGGCAGTGTCTGTCATTGAAAGGTGTACCTCAGAAGGCTCTTTACTCGAACACTACCAATCGAGTCAGAGCTTATGGCGAACTGTCATCCGCCTTTGCAACCTCAAGTGGTGTCCGTCAAGGCTGTCCACTTTCCCAATTTTTGTTTAACTTCATCATAGACCTATTGATAGAAATAACATTCTCGTCTACTGAATTCTCGGGTATTGATCTCCTTCCAGGAGGTCCACTTATCGACTTAGAATACGCAAATGACATAGTCCTGTTTGGTGAAGACGCTGACAAAATACATAGTCTTTTGGTAGCACTGAGCAACAATTCCAGAATGTTTGGAATGCGCTTCTCTCCCTCTAAATGCAAGTTGTTGTTTCAGGACTGGTCTGGGTCAACACCTGAACTAAGGATATGGAGTGAAGTAGTCGAACGTGTTGACAACTTCACTTATCTCGGAAGTCTGATCAGCCCTAATGGGTTGGTGTCTGACGAAATTTCAGCACGAATTCGAAAAGCTCGTTTGGCTTTTGCCAACTTGCGTCACCTATGGCGAAGGTGAGATATTCGTCTATCAATTAAAGGACGAGTATACTGCGCGGCAGTCCGTTCTGTTTTAATTTACGGCAGCGAAACATGGCCATTAAGAGTAGAAGACACTCGTAAGCTACTAGTATTTGACCACAGATGCCTCAGAAATATTGCTCGCATCTACTGGGACCACCGGGTAAGTAAGAGTGAGGTTAGACGTAGGGTATTAGGGAAGGATGGTAAATCAGTTGATGAAGTTGTGAATCTTCATCGACTGTGATGGTTGGCACACATGTTACGTATGCGTGAAGACCGATTACCACGACGTGCAATGGTGATTAGTGTTGGGGATGGTTGGAAGAAAGTTAGGGACGGCCAAACCAAAACGCGACGTCAGTCCCTGAAGTCACTAACTTCTGGTCTGAGCCATGTTGGTAGGTGCAGACTACTTGGTTGGGGTCCGCGTGACTATCGTAACCAATGGTTGGAGACTCTGCGTGTCATGGCTCAGAATCGTTCACAATGGCGTATGCGTATACACTCTTTGTCTTCCTTTAAACTGTGAGATTAAAATCGCTTCATATATTTCTTCGAACTGATTCTTTCTACATGTACTATGCCCTTATATACAATCTTTCTTTTATATATTATCACCATTGACTTAACTACTCCTATGAATTTGGTGTTCATCTTGTTGTGCTAATAAGGTATGGCAGCTTGGGCCGATGCAAATATGTGCCTGGTCTTACGTTGTAGCTGACTGACTGCTAACGTTTGTCTCCACTTTTATTCTCTCAGAAATATTTTCAGCAGTTAAATTCGAAATCAAATGAGCCATGAAGAAAAATGGCTTGAGAGTTCTGTGATCTTCAATAACCGGCTATCAGTCAGTCAGCTACAACATAGGACCAGGCACATTTATACATCGGAGGAAGTATGGTGTTGTTAGTCGGGGAAGGAGGAATAATGGGAATCGAAGAAGGAAATTGATTATGAATACAGTGGTCTTGAGTGCTGTCGGAGGTGTGAAGGCGGTTTTCATTTTCCGGTTGCCCACGCCGTGGAAGGATTCCTCTAATAGTATCTGAAAGTGAGACTGGGGTGCAGTTGATCTTAGTGACCCAAGAACGTGACTGTGGTGCCCAAGGGACAACTGATTAGGGCTCGTCACACATGACCTTTTTGTAGCCTTCGTCAACACCTGAACTAAGTCGAACGCATCGACAACTTCACTTATCTCGGAAGTTTGATCAGCCATGATGGGTTAGGTGACTGGCGAAACCTCTGCAGATTCAAAAATCTCGTTTGACTTTCGCCAACATACGTCACCTATGGCGAAGGTGAGATATCCGTCTATCAATTAAAGGACGAGTGTGCTGTGCGGCAGTCCGTTCTGTTTTACTTTACGATTGCGAATCGTAGTCACTAAGAGTATAAAATATTCGTAAGCTACTAGTATTTGATCACAGATGCCTTAGAAATAATGCTCGCATCTGCTGGGACCACCGGGTAAGTAAGAGTGAGGTTAGACGTAGGGTATTAGGGAAGGATGGTAAATCAGTTGATGAAGTTGTGAATCTTCATCGACTGTGATGGTTGGCACACATGTTACGTATGCCTAAACACCGATTACCACGACGCGAAATGCTGACCAATGTTGGGGATGGTTAGAAGAGAGTCAGGGCGGCCAAACCAAAACGTGGCATCAGTGCTTGAAGTCCCTAACTTCTAGTCTGAGCCATGTTAGTAGATGCAGACTAATGAATGGGATTCGTATAGCTGCTGCAACCAATCATTGGAGACTCTGTGTGATATGGCTCAGAATCAATCACAATGGCTTAGATGTATAAACTCTTTGTATTCCCTTAAACCATGGGATTACAACTACTTTATACTTTTCTTTCTACGGACTAACTCTTTCTCCCTGTATTACATCCTTATACACAATCTTTCTTTTATATATCACTACCCTTGAATTAACTACTATGAATTTAGTGATCATCTTGTTGTGCCAATGAGGTGTGGACACTTAGACGGATGCATAAATGTGTCTGATCTTTTGTTGTAGCTGACTGACTGACTGAATTGTCATGTTAGCTCCGTACTTGTTGAGACTTTGCTGAAGGATACGGATAACCTTGGGGTACGCATTTTTAGGGTGGACCTTTTATAACCACGCACGCCCACTTTGTGAGAAGGCAGTATCGCCGCTATGCTGGTTGTCTGATGGAAAAACCTTATTGCAGTCACACTTCTGTACAGTCAGCAGTACAACTCCGCTCTCAGACCTTGGGTTTGATGCTTTTAGTCTTACTGCTCTTCAAGTGACCTGTCTGGCATGGTAGGACCATGAGGAATGATTGTTTCAGCTAGTAAAACACGATCAGGTCATCACTAGAGGCAAGCCCGACCACCACGTCAAGGTAGTAGCATCGGTTGGGTTTACCGGTGATTCATTTATAATGTCAGTGATTAAGGTATATAATTCATCTGATTAGTAAGTTCTATACTTTATCAACTGTTCCAAAAGCAAATTCTACATTCTCAGTGGGAGATGCCAAAACGTTCTTTATATATATATATATATATTCAAAACGATCATCTTTTGCTCACGATAATGAGTGCATCACATTTGCAATGAGTGTCTAGATCTAGATGGTCACAATATGTTACTAAAGTTTTGGTAAGGTGATTCACAAGTAAGCACTCGTGAGTATATATTTATTATGAACGTGAAACTTTATAATTATTGTTCAACTTGAAATTCATCTTTATATTCTCCTGGAGTCTAATGATTACCTAACTTAAATTACTACATGATATAGACTATCTCTAGGTTGAAATGTCTTCATAACTATCTATACTAATAAAAACCTCTTTGCATAAAGCACCGTCTGCGACTTAACAAGCTTCAATAAATTAGTCGCATGAAACATAGCCAACTATAATTAATAAGATACATGTGGACATTAGCACAAATAATTTACCTAAATACAATCCAGGATCATGGGGAACATTTGTTCGTATATTTTCATTGTTGTCACTTTCTTCCAAGGTTAAACGACGTAACTGCATCTGTTAATAACCATAGTTGCGATATAATTTCAAGCATCTTTAATTCATTTTACCTGAAGGTGTAATTTGCTTGTGAATAGAAGCTTTTTCCATCCGAATAGTTTTGCTAACTCTTCAACAGGTCTACTTGGCTGACTTAATGTTGTGTTAACATAGATCTCACGCCATAATGAATCGCTATTACAAATCTTTGAAAAAACAATAACTCAAACGGTAAAGATAAAACAATTACCTCATTAAAGTGTCTTGATGTAGTCCCTAAATTAATCACATCCTCCAGATTTAGATAAAAAATTATCTTCACTAGAATTTTGTTTGGTATTCTGACTAAATAATCCAGCTTCCCAGCACATATGTTCAGACAGTAGTCTAGTGTTTTATGGCCCATAACCCTGAGTATTTCATCTAGGAAAAATCAAAAAATTAGAGGTAGATATAGACATAGGTTTTGCGATTAGCTCTTTGATTAGTTTCGGTTTTAATCAAAGAATTTCATCATTTCATTTATTATTGTCAAGTCACCCTAAATAGTGCTATCCTAAGAAACAAATTAGTTTAACTTGGTGAACTTTAGTATATCTTTCTATACCTCCCTGATTTATTAACATAAAATCTAGTATAACATTAACCAACGTTTAACATTAAAAATAATGGCCACTAAAGTCATTCCAATCATAATTCCCGTTCTTTAAACTAACAAACTAACTTACTATGCATCCGATCGTCTTGTTCGAATTCCTCATAAGTTGCCACACTTTCACCTGGATGAAACTTTGCCCCATCATTTCTTGATGTAATCTTCCACCATCTCAATTTGAACTTGAAAAAAAAGAACACTTATAATTTTGTTGGAGAATGTTTTAACTTCATTCACATATTACGTGATAAGTGACTTCATTTCCACTTACAACACACACTTAGAACAGATAAGTAAAACTAAAATTGATTGATCTAGGAAACTTGTAAATATCTACTTTTTATTCATGATTCTGTCGAAAACTTTTTTTGTTGTCAGTTTCCACTCAAGTATAGTTATTTTAGTTTTCAACAACAATTTTATGTTAATTTGTTTTAAACCCAGAGTGCTACTCAATTTTTACATAAGTACGAAGAATTTATACTTGGGATAATTGTGATACTAAAGGACGCTTGTGATATACTATTTAATATTCGAATGCTATGAAGGATATGACAAAGACGCTATACTTTGAAACGCATGACAAAAACGTCATACTATTGCATCATATTATATTCATACTATTCTGCATCAATGTTTTTTCTTGCTGTATTTAAATTCATAATGGGAACCAATTGCATGATATTGCATTATATAAAGGTGATGATAGTAAGAGCTTGAGACTAAATGACCGAGGATAAGATAGGGGCAGAAACAAAGGATAATAGTACCTTCATTGCGATAATAAGTAAATAAATGAGATTACTTGTGGCTTTTGTAGCCTGGCATTTTTAAATACTTTGTCTTATACTCTTTGTAAACTCTAGCTATAATATATACACTTGGATTCGCAGCTAAAAACAACAGGCGATTGATGTAAGGCATGAGTCTTTAGAATTTAAAGCACGATTTAGTACACTAGTAAACAAACCAATACTTAATTTACATTGTACGAAGTACAGTACAACTGTAGTTTCGGTTGCTGTATCAAGCCCACACAGCTTATTCTAGCTTCTGGACAGGCCAATTTATCTATTCTTCTGGAGTCACGTTTCGACCTTGTTATCTATTCGTTTATCAGCCTTGACTGTTCTTATGTAAGCGTATGTGTGTTTATTCCTTATCTTACTCATCATATATCTGTAAGTTATTTTGGTCTCACTATGAATATCGGTTCACGCCTGGTTAAATCGAGTTGGCTCACAAGCTTTCTCCTATTCGCTTCCTTTGCTGCGTTTCTCTGATTTTCTGTGTCGATCAACGATTGTACAAAATTTCCGTATTCAAAAATCCATTCTTGTATTTGATTTATTTAACTCTGTTATCTACTAACGCGATTTAGGTCAATGATTATATACGAGGATTGGCGACATGTATATTTCGATAACAAGCAGAAAACGATCTACGTAAAGTCAGATTTTGTGTCACTAAACACAAGTCGAATTCATGTCAAAACGTATACAATCTTTCAAAATATAAAAACACTTAAAACATTAATTGAATCTGTCTCTCAGTGTACTAATGGATAATTCGGTGTACTCTCCTTTAGTCTGAGTTATAAAAATATGAGAATACAAGTTAAGACAAGATTCTATGTGATAGCTTACTCATTAGATATTTTATTTATTTTAACAATCTAAAAATTGAGAACTGACAAGCAGGAGACAATTGAATGAAAAATAAACAATTGTTCATAAAGCGAACAAATAAAAAGATAATATAACTAAAGCTCGCAAAACAATAGACGATTAGTGTACTCGCCGTAGGATGTACAATAAACTTTAGACGTAGACAATCATCTGATGAAGTTCAGTGGTTGAGCAACAATGTATCACTTCATAGTTTTTACACGATCAAAATTTGAACCTACTCAATGTCATAAACTTTTATGCCAGCATACTAAACTCTCATAAATTTACAGTTAATAGTTTCATCCCGTCATTACTTTAATTTGCTACTTTGGTTTTCTGATACAAGTTAAAATAAAAACTATATAAAGTTTATAATATGAATTTTTAATAAAGTAAAACGATGAAAATGTTTTACAATTTTTTGTGAGAACGAAGCTGATAAATTTCAGCGGCAAATGTGCATGTATGCGAGGTTTCAATCTCTCTAGATATGCAAATATGAAATGATATTAACTTGCAATTGTGAATTAGCAAGTGTACGTATTAGCACAACATTATTACAACAGTTTGTCAAGGTATATTGCATTTGGGCAAGCCGCTTTCTTTTTCAAATAATTGAATAAATTTCTGTCATCTAAAGAGATGAAGTTTCGAAACTCGCTGTATATGTTTTGATGCGTCACATCAGTAATGAACTTTATACAAACCAACTGTAATTATACTACAAATACAACTATTTCTTTAAATCCTCAAGAATGCCTGGGTTACTATCTCTGCCCTTTGAGACACAAGAATCTTTAAAAAAGCGAGTTTTTCATCTTTTCAGTAAGAACAAAGAAATATTTGTCGAAAACCGTACAAGAACAATAGCATAGTTTTAGCTTACATCTAACCATTCAAATATAACCCGATGAAATTTCGGAGAAAGATTTTTCTTTGTAACAAATCAAGCAGTATATATAGTGGTTCGAAAAACCGAATTTAAATCAAATGAAGATTTCTAACTCAGAACTAATTAGGTTTTCTGGGTATTCATCCACTAAATACACAATTGCGTATTGTCAACTTAAAACAACTGCATTTATTCTACCATGATTTGTAATATGTTTTCAAGACCGCATTAAAGTTGACCGATAACATTTTTATGACGATAATTGATAAAAAAGCAAGTTTCATGATGCTGAGATCTTGGGGTTAAATAATACACTCCTGACATCTCATATAACCTTATATGGGCAACTCACTAAAAGTTTTGGAAACTGAAACATCGAATTAAAACACATACGCAACAGCCGATATCGGAATCATGTAATGCAATGTCGATATTTAACGGTAAGTTCATCGAATATAAATAAAACCTGTTTGTCACTACTAACTTTAGTTGGTGTTATTAATAGATGGTAAAAATCTTTGGATGGGGCTGGGGCAATAGCCGCAAACTCTGCTATCTTTTCAGAGTCAAATATATTATAATACGAAATCAATGGATTTTTCAACACACTAGTAATATCATGTCTCATTTTAAAAGCGTCTTATTATACAGTATATGACGACGCAGAATTTCGGTTCATTTTAACTAGTTTTGTGCTTCAATGTATCAATACAACAATGTTCAATCAGAGCTTTGTTCCATACCTTTTGGATTAAATACTTTGGTGAAAATAAGGTTTCTAAAGTAGGAAAATCTTAAAATGATGTTGTTTGACCATGGTTTTTGGATGTTTTCCGTTGATAATTGATCATAGGCATAAATTTAAGACTAGTTGACCGCCAGTGCATTAAAAGTCTTTACATAACCCAGCAGTGTAAAAACAACGAGATGCCAGCTATTCTGCTGCTTCTGATGGTGGAAGTTGAAGGTACTGTTACTAACTCCCTTCAAGCTGTTCAGTATTATACCTTAAATGTAAATGTAAAGGAAAGAGAACGATGAAAATCCCTCCGCAGCCTTTTTGTTGGACAGTACTGTCATTTATTTGTTTCTTCTCCTTGTCGTGTATTTTAACCTTCTTTCAGATCTCGTTTAACCAAACCTTTTGTTCTTTAGTTTTTCTTGTTTCAGCATTTATTAAGTGATTTTGCTTAAAGACTTGTCTTTTGTAATCTAATTTTCTATTGCATGTTGCCCGACAGTGGACAGTAAGGTCGTGCTTGACTAGGCTCAAGGTCACGGCGTGGTCTAGTGTGTTGCTGCTAACCTTTTGACTGTCTGCTTGGGAGGATTGCTGGAATCCCATTTTGTAGGGTCTATTCTTAATTATTCGAACCCTTTTGTATTAACTGTTTATTTTACTGTTTGGCGCGCTACTTTGCGTTAGGGAAACTTCTGACTGTTTGAAGTGTTTTGTATTTTTGATATAATTTGTCCTATTTCCTAAATAAAAACCTTTTAAATTGAGCACAGAGTTTCTGTTTCGATGTAGTTTAATACGAGTATCTCAAAAACGCTTGGTACGCTATACAGAAGAACGTAGTCTAGCCTATTCGAATACATTTTTGTTCGTCAGCCCTGTGTTCAGACCGAATTCTGGTGGTCCGCTCGTTACAGTAAAGATGTATGGTTCTTGTTGATACATCTGCGACCTTGAGAAATTCGTCTAAAAAATTGCCTTCACCTTCAACAACCAGCTTTGCAGCTTATAAATAAGTCTGATTGAATCTCTCTGACAAAGAAATAGAACTTCTGTCCAGCTAGGGTGTGTCCAGTAAAATTGATGAGGACAGTAGCATTATCGAAGATATTTAAAAACTATTTATATTGGAGACTTACTCACCACTTAAACTCGCCTTCTCAATAGTGAGGGAGTTACGACCTTAAAACGAAGCCAGTTAGATGTTTAAAAACAACGAGCCTACTGTTGGTAAGCACACTGATATTTTGCTATGTTCGGCAGCGTTGGAGCCATGAAATACACGGTTAAAAATAAATTAACGGAAAAAGGGTTGGCTCACCAAATCCGTTTTCCACGTCTCGTCTTTTCTTGTCGTCCTAGAAAACAAAGAAATCAAAATGTAGGTATGTTTGAAAACATTCTCGTATCTGCGTAACCCGGCTAAACATGAGGGAAAGTCAGGTATATTTGAGTGCATATATACCACGTGACAGTGAAGAAAAACCGGAAAGTTATATTTAGTTTTTTGTCAAAGAATATGCACGTACATATGATTTTGAGATGCACGTACATAAACGCACTGTTAAATGCATTTTTGCGTTAATTAGTTTTCATACAATCAATTGGCTGTATGACACGAAATGCGAGTTGAGATAATGATTTATAACATAAACTACATGCGGTAGTCGTTCAAGTGTTCTTGAAATCTTCCAGCTCTTCTAAATCGCGACATCTCGAACCTTCAATCGGAAACCAGAAGAACTTTATTGGATCGTATCTTAGTCGTGAGAATTATGTCGTACGATCGTTTGATATGAAAGTCAACATAGATGATGTTTCCTTCTAAACAAGCGGATTTCAGCCAATCAACTCTTATTTCATCTTTACCACCGTTCTTATTATTGATGTAGCACTCAGGTTCATATTAATGAACTTGAATCCTCAAGTAAATCCTGAAAATAAATAGTCCTACAAGTCTACGATATTTGATTCAGACCCCACTACTTTTAATGGATACATCTAGCTGAATGTGCTCGGTTGCGCATCCACACCAGATGTCGATGGGTACGCCATGTCAACCATCTCTGACAAGCGTTAGCCAGCGTAGAATAGATGCATCCCGATATATTGATAACCTATTAAAGATATCTTGGAACCTCTTCGTTTTTGAATTTATTTGACTGAGTTGGTACATTTCAACTATGAAAATCTTACGTGTCAAGGTTTTGTTAAACTCGAAATACATAAGCCATCATAAACTATAGCACTGTCAGTTATAAAACTGTCTTGCCGAAATCAGCGCCCCTAGCGTATATATAGGTTCTTAATAATGAATAAACCTCGAACAACTCGTTAAAGCTAAATGTATCCTGGATTTTGTAGCTGAGGAAGTTGTACGATTGTGGTCTGCTTCGTTATTAGTACCGCTTCATGAATAGACGTGATCCCAAAATTGTAGATTTGTCATGATGTAACTGCCCTAATATGTAAGATTTTACGCGGAAATCACATTATTATCTACACCAACTCATCGCATCGTTACAATCATCAAAATATGTGTTGAAAACAATAGTCGGTTGCCGCGCGTCTAGGCTGTAAGCAGAAAGAAAGATTCCTGCTCAAGAAAATTATCGCACACAGACAATCAGCTCTCATCTCCATACTGGTCATGTGGATGTTGGCAAAATAAGAGGCTCTTCCCGTAAAAAGAACAGTGTTGCAGTAAATGCCATCGGTGGGGCCATAAAGAAATCAGCTGCAGAAAAAGGAACCATAAGCGATATTCTGCAAAACCCTACTTCAAGAAATACAGGTGTAGTGGATTAACAAAAAAATACTGGTATCACATAATCGGGCGCGAAATTACCTCCAAAGAAATTATGTAACCTTAGATATTAATAAACACCGTACTCGCCTTCAGCTTGATACAGCTTCTGATATTACCCTAATCAACCCAGAAACTTGTAGGAATATTGGAAGACCCACAGTTCTCCCGACAACACAACTGGCATACAGTGCATCTGTGGGGAAATTAAATATTGTTGGGAAAGTTCTCTAAAAGTACTGTAACAACAAACGCAACTGTATACCTTACAAAGAAGCCAGCACTCGACTTAATGGGGGTAGATCTTATAGAGACACTAAAACTAGCACACCATTCTATTAACAGCATCTGCAGATGAATCAGAACTGACAACCCCTTAGAGTGGAACCAGAAAAATGCTGTGCTACAAAGACACCACAATGTGTTTAAAGAAGAATTAGGAGAATGTACGAAGGCCAAAGCATTGTTAGCACTAAAACTTTCAGCTACCCTCGGCTTTCGGCCTAAAAGACCTGTACGTTATGCTGTTCTTCCAATAGTTGAATGAAAATTACAACAACTTCAAAACATGGGTGTCATAGAACCCGTAAATTTCTCGAATTGGGCTGCACCAATAATGGTGGTCAAGATGTCAAATGGAAGCGTCCGTCTATGTGCGGACTATTCTACCGGATTATATGAGTCTCTTCAGTATCCGTTACCCCTACCTGAAGATCTCATCGCTAGGCTGAATGGTGGCAGATATTTTGCGAAATTGGAATTATCAGACGCGTATCTACAAATCCCGGTATCTGATGAAAGTAAAGATCTCCTGACGATTAACACACACAAAGGTCTGTCCCGGTATAACCGACTACCTTTTGGGGTGAATACAGCGCCCTCTATTTTACAGCAAATTATGGATACCATGTTACAAAGTATTTCAGGGGCAGCAGCTTATTTAGACGACATCATAATTATGGCAGCAGACAAAATGGACCCGCAGAAGAAAGTGGACCAGGTACTAGAACGCATAGCCGATTATGGTTTTCGCCTTCGAGCGGAAAAGTGTGACTTTTACATGCAGCAAGTACAGTATCTTAAGTTCATAATAGATAAAGACGGAAGACGACCAGATTCGGAGAACACTGGAGCTGTGAGAACAATGCCTAGAACCAGTGACATTACTACCCTACGATCGTTCTTGGAATTCGTCAGCTGTTATGGTACCTTCCTTCCCGATCTCCATCGTCTACGTGCTCCACTAAACCACCTACTAGAAAAGGACACGATACGGGATTGATCGGCGAACTGCCAAGCGTATTCGATAAAATCAAGCAACTCCTAACTTTCAATCTCTTATTGACACATTATGGTCCTTCGCTACCAATAGTTGTTGCTTCAGATGCCCCTAACAATGGTGTGGGTGCAGTCGTCTCTCACGTTTTTCCTAATGGGTCTGAAAAAGCTATCACCCATGCTTCCAGATCTTTGAGGACGACCGAACGGAACTACAGTTAGATTGAGGAAGAAGCCCCATCAATTATCTTTGCAGTGAAAAAGTTCAACAAGATGATATACGGCCGACATTTTACTCTAATTAGAGACCATAAGCCACTAATTGCCGTTTTTGGATCAAAGAAGGGAATTCCTGTTCGTGCAGCTAACCAGCTACAACGATGGGCAACCACACTTCTGGGTTACGATTTCAAGATCAAATATCAGCCAACTACCGCTTTCGGGCAAGCTGATGCATTACCAAGATCAATATGTTCCCAATCTAAAACCTCAGAGGAGTCTCTTGTAGCAAATATAAAAGCTGAGAAAGTTCGTCGAGTATTGGACGACGCAATCGATGGACTCCCAGTAACCTTTGAAGAAGACCACTGAAATTGATGAGACATTGAGCACAGTTAAATGCTATCTCTCAACCAAAAGACCAAACAATCGTCTTGACGGAGAACTTTTGCAATGCTTTCGTCGACCTGACTCACTAATGGTTGTCAACTGGTGTATTATGTTCAGTGATCGAATTGTTATTCGAAGGTATTACGTATCCTGGCAAGCGTTCCTTTGTAATGGTGTTCATAGTCTACCGCGACACGACTCCACGCTACACATTTACTAAATGGCCGGAAGTATATACCATGCTTAATTGTACAACATCAGAAACAATCGACAAGTTGCCTAA